CATACAGGCTTTGATTTACAGTGGGGTAGGTTGCAATAATAGCTTACCACTTACCAGGCAGTAAGCACCATTCAGTTCAACAGGACTTATTTCTGAGCAGACATGGTTAGAATGGTGCTGTTACGTAGATTTTTGCTGGTGTACGTGTGCTCCAATCTGACTTTCTGCTGTTTGGATTACTGGCATTTCAGTTACTAAACCTCCAAGTTTAAAAGCACAGCAGAAACCACTGAGTTTTGCACGGCTGCTAGGCAGTTCCAGCTCATTTGAAACTTTGCTTAGGGCCTCCCTGCTAGAGTGTTCAAAAAATGTCAGAACTGCACATGGAGAGCAAAAGAAGCAGGCAGGCCCAAAGATGCTGCACCTTTTCAAACTATGAAGGCACTCAGTTGAGGGAAACACGGCTTCCTTTTATCTGTGGCCGAGTGCCTCCCTCTCCTCAGGTGATGAGCACTGATCTGTGAGGAAGCCCTCTTCAGTCCGCCTGCCTCCTGACATATTGCCGCGCTTGCTGCTTTGATGCTCCCCTGCATATTGTTTTGATATCTCTCCCTTTTCAACATCAGCCAGGAAGGATTCCACTGAACCTTGCAGTAAAAAGGACTTGAAGGCTGTTTCTGGTTGTTTGCCTGTTTTCTTTTGCGAGGAGCAGATGAGGTTTGGATTCACAGGGCTTTTGTTGTTGTTCTTTGGTACCTATTATTTTGGCATCATCTGCCCTAAATTAACAAGTTAGTCATAAATCCAAGGGATCTCTTTAGAACTTCATGCTAAGCGAGCAAGGTGATCTGTATTAGAAAAACAAAAAGCCGCAATCTCTGCTTTTATGAATCCTGTGTCTGAACTGTTCACTCCCAGGTTTCACCTCCAGCTTTCCTTAGGAAGCTAATTAGTGGATGCACATAAGCCTAAGCCCCGAAAGACATTGTGCATTTCATTAGTTGTGGTGTGCTGCATATGGGCGAAAGCCGCCGGGGATGAAATGCACAAAAGCAGAAGACGTGTGCTTGGCCAAAGGATGGAAACAAAGCAGCTAATGAATGTCCGGCATCCGTCTGATGCTCTCCTGCAGTCAAGAGGCTTTGACCCAACCCAAAGATGCTTTCACTAGACTCCCTGTTGAGATGCTTTCTTACACCCCACCTCCCAAAATAAGCACACAAACAACCTCCACATTCTGATGTCTCAAAGGGAGTTTTACTGTAAGTTGAATTTTAAAATAATGCTTAGTTATGCTTTGGGGGCTTTTTAAAAAAAGCCAGCTGTCCTCTGGCTTTGAGCCTAATGATTCTACCACACAATGAAAAAAACCAAAACAATTATAATCTGTGCTCCAGTGATTTAGCTAATAAAATGTGTTGCATTGGTACTGAAATCAAATAAACAATGAAATCAAATATCAAGGTTTCCTTAGACAGACAGTGAAAATTCAATATTTTAAAATAGGTTGCGAATGTGCTCAGATTTTTTTGTGTAAGACATCTTATTTAGTTTATTCTCACTGCGAGAAGTGAGGCTACAGGGAACCAGGCAGATGGCCTTCTCGGTAGTGGTGCCCACCCTGTGGAATGCCCTCCCATCAGATGTCAAAGAGAGAAATAATATAGCTTTCACAAGGAATCTGGCTGGTCTGTAAGAAAGAGAATGTTGGACTAATTTGCCTTTGATCTAATCCAGCAGGACTCTAAGCTTCATATGTAGGACTGCCATACGTCCAGAATATCCTGGACACCACCAGTACCTGGCACCCAAAAATGGCGTCCAGGCAGAATGTTAAATTCCTCTTGAAAAATGTCTGGGGAAACCCAAACGCATGGCAACCCATGTTGAAAATGGGGTTCTTCTTCTTCTTCTTCTTCTTCTTCTTCTTCTTCTTCTTCTTCTTCGGGGAAGCAGCCAGCGGCGCCTCCATCTCAGCAGCCTTTTCCCTCTGTCTCAGAGAACCATTCGGTGATTTATCTCCCTTCCTAACCCTGAAACAGTGCTAAGCTGAGCCTTATTGAAAGCCAAGTGGCAAGGCAGGTAGGTGTGTGAAAGGGAGCTTTGATCTGGCTGGAAACTTTGTGAATTCTCTCCACCCCTTCAGTTCCCAGCCAAGCGGATTGCCTGGTCATGCAGGATCTGGCCAAGGGGGCTCCCTGTGCGTGCCAGCCTGTGTGTTTCTGTGTGTGCGTGTGCAAGGGTGGGAGAGGGAGAGAGGGAAGGAGTAGGAGGGAGAGGGACCAAGAGACAGGCATCCACCTCTCGGCACCCCACTCTCATCACTGCCCAATCAAAGCCCCCCAGGACAAAATCAGTAGCAGCCCCCCCTCTCTCGGGCTCCCTCCCTTCCTCTGGTGCACCTCCTCTGCATCTCCCCATCTTATTTTCCATCCAACGATCCTTCCCCCCCCCTTTTGGGGGACTCCCTCCAGAAAACAAGGATATATTTGGCTCAGGGAAACCCTCCTTTCCCCCAGCTGGGACTTACTGATTTAATTTTCCCCACTCCCTCCTTTACCCGCATCTCTGCTGCACTTCCTGACTCCCCCCCCCCACGAGTTTTTCTCTTGCTGCGATTTCTGATTGCTTCCCCCTCGCTCGCTCTCCCTTTATCTCTGCTGCATTCTCTTACCCCTACCCCAGCCTCTTGCCATTGCATGGCTTTTTCAGTCCTTGTGCCTCCTGCCTCCTGTTTGGATGCCCCCCCACTCAGCATCCTCTCCTCCTCCTCCCCCCCCTCCTCCAGACCCTCTTCCTTTCCTTCCCTCTCCTTCTGCCAGGATCCCTCTTTCATTCTTTCCCTTTCTCCACTTCCCAGACTCCCTCGTCCCTCCTAGGGCTTCCGTAGCACTTCAGGCATCTCAGTTTGGAGTGATGGGAAGTGAGACGCAGGCAGATCTCGCTTTGGAAAAGCAGTGCCAGGGCTGCTGGCGCATCCAAGAGCTTTTACGCCATCTTCTAAACATCAGGCAGGCTTGGGGAAGGTGGCAGCAGATCCATCCCCCAAACAAAGCTCAACAACTCTGTCCGGATTTTCACTTTTGGAAATATGGCAACCCTATTCACCATTTCTCAGTCACTACACATGGTTGCTTCGAGACTAAAACAAAATGATACCACCTTGATCTTCCTGAATTGATCAAATGCTCTAGCATGAACACACAGGAACCCCAATTTGTGCTCTGATCTGCACTTGCCCAAGGGAAGTTTCTTTCACTCAAGAGCCATTGGGTCAAGGCTATAATGTGGAAAGCTCTGAATATCCTTATAATGTGCCTTGTGTTCATTCCTGCACCTTGTTCAGAATTCCACAGGTAGGTGTTTATGCAAACGTGAAACTAGGAAATCTTGGTAGAGGTGATATTTTCTGTAATACAGTTACATGGACAATGTGCTTCTAAATATTTGTCATAGCCAGACAGTACTATTTCTCTTGTACGAATGCAGAGTGGATGGAATTACCTCTTAAGCTTGATGGGGCCCAAGCCATCTGCTGCTTTGAATGCTAACACCAACACCTTGAATTTGGCTCTGAAGCATTCAGAGCTTTTAGAACTGATAGGGCATCATGCCCACCTTACCAACCTAGCAGCTGCATTCAGCAGTAGCTGCAGTCTCTGAATCATCTTCAAGAACAGCCTCATTTAGAGTGCATTGCAGTAGTGGGAGATCACTAGAACATGGACAACTGAGCCCAGACTATCAAATCCAGGAAACAGTCATAGCTGGAGCAAGGAGTTGTATCCCATGCTCTGCTCATAGAGTCCTGCTGGTGCAAAGGGGCTTCTTATTCCTCTCGCCTCCACAGTCCTACAAAACTGCTCAAGAGAGTTCTCCAGTCCTTAACAGCTGATTTTGAGGATGCACAGACAGCTAAGGAAATAGGAGAGGAAGAAGAAGCTTGGTTGAGAAAATGGAAGTCTTTTGTGCCAGTGGAGCTACAGCATTGAATGCGCCTCAAGATGTGCAGACATATGCTAACTGTTAACAACGACCTGCCATGCGATTTTTGAAAAGAAAAATCAAAATGTCATTGGCTGACTTTTTGCTTCTTTAATCTAAACACACTGCCACCCCTTCCTGCCTGCCTGACCTGTGATTTTCAAGTTATCTGTGGCTCGTCTCCTGCCAGTAAATATAGGCCACTTGCTGTATCATTTCAGCAGGAGCTGCTTTGCCAGCCGCACTAAGGAGCAACCATCAAAGTGCTAAAATTAGTTTTGCACTGCAGTGGCAACAAATTAAAAATGGCATACTGTTACACCAAGTGGCGCACACTCATGCCAGCTGATTTATGAGGTCAGGAGTAAAAGGATTCATCACCTGGCATTATCTCAGCCCATAGTTAATCCCTGTTCTGTCACTGAGGCATGGGAAAAAATTATAGGAGGAGACAAAGCTCTTCTCTAAAGACAAGAGCTGTTTACAAAGGACAGCTCTCCCCAAGATACCTTGATAAAATAATTGCCTCTGTAGGCTACAGCTCCCAGCATGGAAAGCCATCCTTTATAATGTTGAGTTGGAGCTATCGCCATCCACTCTTCTCACATTATTTTTCTTTTCTGATTGTTAGCTACTTTATTAAAGAATCAAACATGAAAAAGACATTGTCTATATGTATATACATGTAAAACACACATTCTTCAAAAATAATTATTATCACATTTTTTTAAATAACAGGCACAAGGGATCTCCCTTTTATTTTATTCTACTCCTTCTCTCACAGAAGTGAATGAGGGAGTTGATGTTCTTACATTGTGCATTGACCTTTTGCTGTCGCTCTGTTACTCTTCGATAACTCGTTAATTTATTTAGACATCCATGCAGCTTTCTGTAATCTGTTTGTTCCCAAATGGCTAAAAAGAAATGCCAAATCATGCTAAATCCCTATTCTTATGTCCTCTCTGTTAGGATATTTCCGTTCCACCTTAAAAGGGAGCAGGCTTTGTGAGACAGAGTCTGCGTATTTCCTGTTCACAGGATGTTTATGTTTTCTGTTGCTTTCGTTTTCTCTCTGTTGTCGCAGACACTAAAGCAGTCGGTCATGTTTTTCTGTGTTCTGATCAACGCTGAATAAACTTGTAAATAATGCTCTCCTGACTGCAACTTTTGGCTGTGCATTATCTGCTGATAGAGCGTGCATGAGCTCTAGAATGTGGCCAGATATTTTCTAGAAACTCATGTCGCTGCGTGCCTACGGGAGGCCGATGGATCATCCGGCAGACGGCTTGGGGGCCGTGATGGACTTTATCTCCCTGGCAGTACCCCAACAACAGGTTTCGGGCCCAGATTCACAGCACTTACAGGAGAGTAAGACTGCGACAGACTGCGTTGAGAGGTATGTGGAAGAAAAGCGAAAGTGAGGCTTTTCTGTTTGCCGAGGCAAGGGCCTTTGAACTCCGGCAGATTAATGGATCTGGGAGCCGCGCCAAAGGCCTCAAGATTTATGGGCTGCCGAGATAAGACATCTTTGAAGTGAATTAGACTCACGGCTCGAATAGAAACCTGGAATGGAGTTTTTCCAAGCTTCTGAGGCTGCTGAGTGCCCAAAGTTAAATCGGCACAACTATCAGACCTGGGCTGTGTGGTGTGAGAGCTTGCTGCGTCAGTTTGGAGTGTGGCATACTGTGTCTGAAGCCCCTCCAGTTCCTCTGACAGATAGATGGAGGGCCGCTAATTCGAAGGCCGTTGACATAATAGTCTTGTCCGTCTCTCTGGAGGAAATTAAAACGTTAGCTGGCAATGTGACTGCACGTAATATGTGGCATGCTTTGAAGATAGCCCATCTGCCACTCATCCCAGCCCAGAGTTTGACTGCATCGGAGGTCCTGGCTGTTTCCCAGAATGCGAGTGAATGCAGGGATGCCGAGGGCACCGGTTGCAAGCTGCAGGGGAGCTGACTGTCACGTCATCCCAGGCAGCATTCCAGCCTCCAGGGGGAGCCAAGGAGTCGGCAGCTGAGAGCTCTGTTTCTCATGGGAACCAAGGTCATCGCCTTTGCAGAGGCCGGAAAGGCAAAGGTAAACAGAGGCAGACGCCTGCAGATGGCCAGAAGCAGAGGGAGGGTGAAGAGCCCATGCCGGTGGAAAACAAAGTTTTGTTTGCTGGCACAGCCTCACTAAAGGCTAAAGGCAAGTCTGATGGCCAGGAGCAGGGGGGCAAGCTGCAAAAGCCCACGCCGGTGGAAAACAAGGTTTTGCTTGCTGCAAAGGCTGCTCCAAAAGCCAAGGCCAGGTTTGTTGTTGATTCAGGCTGTACCCGCCATGTCTCAAAGGACCGCCACCTATTTATCTCCTTCAAACCTCAAGAAGGTGAGATCCACCTGGCTGATGGGAAGACGTTGCGAATTGCAGGAGAAGGGACTGTGAAACTGGCAAGTCTGCGCACTACCATCAAAGATGTACTGTATGTTCCAGGCGCTGCAGACAATTTGCTCAGTGTCCCACAGTTGACTGGGCGTGGTTTTGAGATTTCCTTCAAGAGGAGCGTCTGTGTCATCAGAAAAGGCAAAGAGGACATTTTGCATGCAAAGTTTATGGATGGCTTGTTCTGTATAACTTATGATGACATTGGTGCTGTTGTGTCTAATGCTGATTCTTGTTGTGTTGCACAAACTAACAAAGTTCTTCATGCAGGATGCATTCATGATGCACACAGAAGATTTTGTCACATGTCTTGGCAGGCGCTGGCCAAGATGCCAGAGATGGTTGAGGGTTTGAACATCAAACCCTGTAAGTTTCACATGAAATGTGTATCTTGTGCAGAGAACAAGGTGAAGGTTGCTCCAAAAGGCAAGGAGTCTAGCAGGCAGGCTTCCAAACCCTACCAGCTAGTGCACGCAGACCTGGTTGGTCCACTTGCACCCTCTTTGGGTGGAGCAAGGTACTTCATGGTTCTAATTGATTCTTTTTCCAGGTACATTCATGTGTTTATGCTCGAGCAGAAATCGCAAGCGTTTCCTAAGTTCAAGGCATTCTGTGCTTGGTTGGAGAATGTTCACGGTAAACGTATTGGCTGTCTGTTTACTGATCGAGGCGGGGGTTCACTTCTCAGCAGTTTGAAGCTTTCCTGACTGAGAAGGGAATCCAGCATGACTTGTCAACGCCTAGATCGCCATGGATGAATGGGCTTGCAGAGCGAGCAAATCAAACGTTGCTGCAAGGAATGAAAACATTGTTGCATGATGCCAATCTCCCTGATAAGTATTGGGGGGAGGCTCTGTCAAATTTTGTTTACACCTTTAATCGCAGGTTGTCATCACCTATTGGTTGTACCCCCTATGAGAAGATGTTTGGTAAGAAACCCAACATCAAGCACATGAGAATCTTTGGTTCTGACATGTGGGTACACACCCCACAGAGCAACAAGCTTGGGAAGCGTGGGGCACATGGTTTGTTCATGGGGTACGAAAAAGGTGCATACAGGGTATGGATGACCAACTCTAAGTCCATTAAGTTCACAAAGAGTGTTGAGTACAATCCTAAGTGGGGGGAAAATGTGGGAATTTTCCAGAGTTACCCAGAGGAGGATGAAGGTGATGTCAAAGAAGCAGCTAAAGCTGAGGAAGCTGCTGAGGATGATGATGATGATGATCAGAGTTCAGATTCCAGTTCAGTGGGCGGCGCTGCTGCTGGTGTCAGTGACAGTGATGACACAGCAGACTACAAGAGCGCAAAGGCCTCAGTCAGACCGTCTGATGCGTCTGACAATGAACTGGAAGAACCACTGTTCACCATTGGTCACTTTTCTCCTAAGAAGGAGGAGATGAGTCCAGAAGACTTGCGTCTAGTACGCAGATCTGAGAGAGCAACCAAGGGCAGACCTCCAAAGAGATTTGCTGATGAGTTTGCTAAGACAGCAACTGCTGTTCTTAGTAGCTCAGAGAAGGTATGGGAACCTTCAAGCTTCAAAGAGGTTCAGGAGTTAACCTCTAAAGATGCTGAGCCTTGGCTTAATGCCATGAAGGCTGAAGTTGATTCCTTGAATAGGAACCAAACTTGGGAACTGGTACCGGTAGTCCCAGGGATGAGACTGGTTGGCAGCAAATGGGTCTTCAAGGCCAAGACAGACCAGAATGGCAAGGTAGTCAGACACAAAGCCAGATTGGTTGCCAGAGGTTTTTCACAGGTACCAGGACAGGATTACCACGAGACCTACTCACCCACCGTCAAATATGAGAGCATTCGGCTGATGCTCAAGATAGCTGCAGAGGAGAAACTGCATGTTTCCCATCATGACATTAATACAGCTTTTTTGTACGGGGCTTTGGAGGAGGAGCTGTTTATGCTTCCACCTGATGGGATGCAGATACAGAAGGGAATGGTCTGTAAACTGCGGAAATCCTTATATGGTCTCAAGCAGAGTGCCAGGTGTTGGAACACAAAACTCACTGAGACGTTGCTTTCTCTAGGTTTTCACCAGGGCAAAGCTGATCCATGTGTGTTTGTCAAGGAGGAGGGCAAAACAAACTGTATTGTTTATGTTTTGTTGATGATCTTCTGATGTTTTGGAAGAATCAGGCTTTCTACCAAAGCACCCTAGCTCAGCTGAAGGAGCACTTTGACATGAAGGATCTTGGTGAGGTATCCAACTATCTTTCTCTGCAGGTGGAGAGGGACCAAGCAGGTAATTTTCTGGTACACCAAACACAGAAAATTGCTGATGTATTAACCAGGTTGAATTTGGTTGATGCAAACCCAGCAGACACACCGATGGTGACAGGTTACCAGGTAGACAGTACTGCTGAAGCGTTTTCTGACACAACGCTGTACAGATGCATTCTAGGCAAGTTGAATTTCATTGCTAGATGCTCAAGACCTGACATAGCTGTAAGCACTAACCTGCTTAGCAGACATGCCAACAATCCTACTGTTCAGGATTGGAAAGCTCTGAAGCGCATAGCCCGCTATTTGAAAGGGACTTTGCACTACAGGCTGAGGTTCACCAGTCAGAAGACTGGAGGTCTTGAAATCTTTGCAGATGCAAGTTTTGGAAGTGACACCACGGATGGTACAAGCACTTCTGGAGTATGCTACATGTACAACCACTGTCTGTTTGACTGGCTGTGCAAGAAGCAGACGACAGTGAGCCTAAGTTCCTGTGAAGCAGAACTCAATGCTCTGTCATTTTCACTCATGGATTGTGAATGGTTGATGCAACTGTTTAAGGACATCAGAGTTTCTGTGAAATGTCCTGTACAAGTGTATCAAGACAATAGATCGTGTTTGGCTTTGCTGAACTCGGAGAGTTGCAAGCAAAGGACCAAGTACTTGCAGATTAAGCTACATCGTGCAAGAGAGTGTATTCAGAAAGGACTCATTCAGGTGTCCTACATGCCAGGAAATGAAATTCCTGCTGATCTGTTGTCTAAGGTTGTTAACAGAGAACAACTTAAGGTTTACGTACAAAGGTTGCAATTGGGTTGAACCACAGGTACTACAGGTTACACGGAAAGGGGGAGGATGTTAGGATATTTCCGTTCCACCTTAAAAGGGAGCAGGCTTTGTGAGACAGAGTCTGCGTATTTCCTGTTCACAGGATGTTTATGTTTTCTGTTGCTTTCGTTTTCTCTCTGTTGTCGCAGACACTAAAGCAGTCGGTCATGTTTTTCTGTGTTCTGATCAACGCTGAATAAACTTGTAAATAATGCTCTCCTGACTGCAACTTTTGGCTGTGCATTATCTGCTGATAGAGCGTGCATGAGCTCTAGAATGTGGCCAGATATTTTCTAGAAACTCATGTCGCTGCGTGCCTACGGGAGGCCGATGGATCATCCGGCAGACGGCTTGGGGGCCGTGATGGACTTTATCTCCCTGGCAGTACCCCAACACTCTCGCCATGCAGACTCGCTGGGAGGCATGTTCATCACTGGCCCTCACTGGTTTTCAATCTGAGAACATTCAAAACAACATTTACAAGCTGCTTCAGACATTGCTTATGGTCACTTGCTTCATCACAGTGAGGAGGAGAAACCCTTGGACTTCCAGTTGTTGGTCTGGACTCCAGTAGCAATTATCCCCGACTGTTTGTCATGTTGGCTGAGGCTGATGGGAACCACATCTGGAGGGCCACAGTTTCCCCATTACTGAATTATAGGAATGGTCCACTCCATATGAAAAATATGTGCCAGAGTTTCACAGGTCTCCACTCTGATGACATTCACAGTTGCACACTACAGTTAGGATCTTTGGGGACCACAGGGATTTCTGTGGCTATGAATCTCCAAACACACTTTGCATTGGTCCAGTGAGGCCCTATTAACTGAAGTCAGTTGCACTGAGCTTGAGACCTGCTCCTGAGTGATGATGGACTTTCAGTGTGAGCAGACTGCTACCACCAGGAAAGAAAATGGATAAAAGGCAACAGCTAAACAATTTCTCAGCAAGCTGCTCTACAGCAGGCATATGGAGGAAGGATGAAGAAAAGTGTCTGTATTCGCTCTGTGGCAGCACAAAGATATAGATTTCTAGACCTTGGGCTGATCGTATTTCCACATCAAAAACACTGTAATAGCTTAAAAGTTGCAGACTTGCTTCCTGAAGGGGAATCAGTAAAAACAAAACAAAAAAATTAAAAAATCCAACAGTTGTTTAAAAAATGCTATAAATTCATATATTAAAAATATTTCTTAACTTCCCTCCATTAAAAAATATCCAGGGTGGTGCAGAAAAGTGTAAATAAAACTAATTCACATAAATTCCATTTAAAATCAATAAATTAACATAAAAATGCAAGACAAAAGGCATATACCCGCCCCCCCAAAAAACACACATGAAGGAATGGGTTTCCCAAACCCAAAACTGACTGTGCAGGCAGTTTGAAACTGCACCAAAATCCTTACTTTTCCTTAGCTAAAATCCATTAACTTGAGCACTGAGTAAATGTATAAACAAAAACCCGAGTGTGCTCAAAGCTCTCTCCCTTATCAGTCCATGACAGCAATGAGTGACCTTGCCAAGTTCCAGTAAGAGCAGGGATGCTGTGTCTGTGCCTTATCTTATATCCTGACCACAAAGACCACAGACCCAGTCTGGGAACAACGCCAGAGTATGTTCTCGGAGATGACAACCTCTTCCTCCAAGACAAGAGTAGGAAGAGGAAGATCCTTTTATGGTCAGAAGTACAGGAAGGAATACCCTTTTATGGTTAAGAATACCAGAGCAAGAACATATGTGATGTCAACCTGTGTACATAGGCTGACGTGGTTGGATTCCTGGGGAAGGAGGGAGAGGGTGCCTGGAGGATATATATACTGCATGTAATCTCTGACTTCTTTGGACTTGCTGTGAACTCACCACGCAAGTGCCTTCTGCTATCCGCAGAGCAGAATAAACTCTTTCTTTGAGCCAACCTCAGTGTCATTTGACTTCCTTCCTCCTGTCCCGGAGCAACACAGACCCAATCGGTGAACTCCAATAAGGCTACACCCACACACTAGAGAGTAGAATAAAGCAAAACTGCAAAACCCTAAAATGCACCTGGCACTAACAAGTGTCAGATATGTCTCATCGGGGAGCATATTCCAAAGTCAGGGTGCCTTCGCAAAAAGGACCTTCTGTTTTGCAGAAGCACAATCTACCTCTGCTAAAGAGTAGAGATAGTGGATATGTCAGTTTTGGTTTTTCTGTGTCTCATCTTTGCATTCTTCAGTTCTCCACATTTCTACATCAGTTTGTATGTTCATTTGTTTTTAAATCCTCATAAAAATTCAGTAGCAAATTTAGGGTGAATTCCTCATCATATCTATATTTTGGCTTAGATATATATTATAAATAATATATGTATTAGATAACAATCTCCTCTACTGCAATGCATCTTATTTGTATCTTATTTAAGGGAATTAAGTAAACTTGCCTATAAATGCAAACTGAATTTAATGATCCACAGAGGGTGGGGCTGTGGGTTAAGCCACAGAGCCTAGAGCTTGCTGATCAGAAGGTCGGCGGTTCAAATCCCCGCGATGGGGTGAGCTCCCATTGCTCAGTCCCTGCTCCTGCCAACCTAGCAGTTCGAAAGCACGTCAAAGTGCAAGTAGGTAAATAGGTACCACTCCGGTGGGATGGTAAATGGTGTTTTTGTGCGCTGCTCTGGTTTGCCAGAAGCGGCTTAGTCATGTTGGCCACATGACCCGGAAGCTGTCTGTGGACAAACGCCAGCTCCCTCGGCCTATAGAGCGAGATGAGCGCCACAACCCCAGAATCGTCTGCAATTGGACCTAATGGTCAGGGGTCCCTTTACCTTTACCCTTTAAATCCCTACTAAGGAGTTGTTATGTACTGAAGTTCTCACCCTGGGCCAGCAGGGGGACACTGTAGATAGTTCGGGTCCACATATGCAAATAAGGGATCGAAAGTGACGTTCAGTGATTGGATAGTTACAGAAAGTTGTTACACTTACGTTGCACTGGAGCTCTATATAAGCAGGCTGGCTGATCCCTTCAGTTCAGTTCTGTTCTGGCCTGTGAATAAACAAGAGCTGTTTGAAGAATCCCTGTGTCGTCTGATATGTTCACCCACAACTTAACAGGAGTATTTGGAGAAGGGCTTCTACAGAAAATATTAACAAATAGGTAAGCTGGTATGGAAAGAATTGTGCCTTCGGGTACCTGGGTCCTAAGCCATTTAGGATTTTTAAGATAAGTACCAGTACCACCTCCCTGAATTCAAAGAAAATAGGCAGCTCCCCAACAACCACTTCCCACCCCATTGGCAGTAACACCAGCAGGGGCTGGAGGTGGCAGGAGGCAGATAAGCTCTGGACTGTGGAGCTTCAGATAAGCATCCCACCATAAGCCATGAATTCAAGTCCTGTCTCAAAACTGAACGACCAAATCAGTGATCATTTGCAAGGATCCACATTCAGTCCTAGCCAGTCACATGAGTTATGTTGCACGATAATCAACTTTATAGATATTTGTTGCACTTGTATGCACCAAACCAATTTAAATATACATACTTATGTTCCACAGTAGCAATAACTGCATCTTCTGTTTACCTTGATCCTCCAGGTCATCTGATTTCCAAAAAAATTGACACATGTCCTTTCCTTTGGTGAGAAATCTATGGTTGCATACCTTCCAAGTGCCCCATTTTAAGCAGGACGGCCACACTTTCTTTGAAGGCGCCCTAGGCTCTGACTTTGTCCTGTGCACCCTGATTTTGCATCATCTGGAACAGGGACTGTGGAAGCAGTTCCTGCATTGGCACTGGGAAGAAGTGCTTGCCAGATGTAAAAAAAGAAAATTGGAAATTATTTATGTATGCAACAACAGCGGCGAGAATTATATTAGCACAAACTTGGAAGACAGAAGAAATACCAACGAAAGAACAATGGCAAGGGAAGCTAACAGAAAAATTACATGAAAAGGACAACAAAGACTTTAAAAGAGAATGGGAACCATTTACAACATACCATATTTTTCGCTCCATAAGGCGCACCGGACCATAAGGCGCACCTAGTTTTTAGAGGGGGAAATCAATTTAAAAAATCTCTCCCCCCCCAGCCCCAAAGAGCAGCGGACAGGCTGCGCAGGAACACGCGCTGCTCTCCGAAGGCTTCAGGCGGCTATACCTGAAGCCTGGAGAGTGAGAGGGGTCGGTGCGCACTGACCCCTCTCGCTCTCCAGGCTTCAGCAAAAGCAACACGAAACCTCCGGAGGCTTTGCGTTGTTATTGCTGAAGTCAAGGAGCCTGCATTCGTTCCATAGGATGCACACATATTTCCCCTTAATTTTTGGAGGGGAAAAAGTGCGCCCTATAGAGCGAAAAATACGGTATACGAAGAGGCAACATAAAGAAATGGACTCACTGGCAGGATTTGAGTAAACAATCACAACTGTATACAACAAGAAATAAGACTATATGTATTGAGAAAATTTTGGGGAAACAATACGCAGGGTGAACAATATGGAAAGAAAACAAAACGTGATTGCCCACCTTTCGGAAGGAGGTGGGAGGGCTCTTGCACCTTGTCAGGGCATCGTGCCTCCTTCCCTAAGCTGGGCAGAAGCTTCCTGGGCTGTGGGAAGGAGGTGTGAAGCCCGTGTCCCCATTTTTAGCAGAATGTTGGCGCACATGTGTTTGTTGTCTTTCATGCCTAAACACCTTTGTGAAATAGAAAAAGGTGTGGGCATATGGATGCAATTTGCAAAGGACACAGTGCATGCTGCCATGCCTAGTCTCAACGGCTTCAGTGGGACTCTTAATGAGAGGAAGCCTTATGACCATGACTATGGAAATAAAGTCCTGAATTTGTTTAATTATGTACTCCCCCTCCCCCTCAAAAAAACCAGGACTAGAGCATGGTTGGAGTCCCACTACATACCAATGAGGCAATTAATTCCCCAGGCAGATAACAGAAAGTCAAGTCATTAGTAGCTCTCTATTGGGCAGAACTTTTAATTATTCAGCATAATAAAGCTCCTGTTTGGGGGCTATAATTCTCCCTCTGATGCCCCACAGAGATTTTTCAGGTGAGTAATTCCAAAGGAAGATACCTTGCCTCTTTTTGTGGTGTATCCTTTCACCTGCAAGTTAATTAACTTGCAGTTTAATCTTCCATAGGAACATATGAAGCTACTACCTTACTCCAAGTCAGACCATCGGCCTACTTAGTATTATTTACTTTTAGTGGCTACAGTTCTCCAAGGCTTTGGGCAGAAGCTTATCGCGCTGTTGCTGTCTGAGATCCTTTTCGATGGGGATGCAGAAGACTGATGTGTGCAAAGTGTATGTATGAGACATTTTTTAATACTTTGCTTTCCGTGGGAAACATCCATAAGTCCCCCCCCCCGAGTGTGGTTCTTCAAGGCCACTTCTCCTGTTTCCCCTTACAGCCCTCTTACCCACTAAACTACCATCTAAGCCACACTAGAGAGCTGGATTTAAGGGAGCGTGACCAGTTAGCCAACACTGGATGCTGAGCTGAGAGGGCGCCACAGTGGGGGCTACAACAATGATGAACAATGGATGGCGAGAGGTTGGGGGGGGGCAGATTTTGGCATAGAACAGGGCACCATTGAAACTTTAAAGCCCAAAGTCTGCCACTGCATGGTAGCATATTTCCTCTAGCACCATGCAACATGTGACTGAAGAAAAAAAGTATGGCAACAAGTAGAAGAAGAGTTTGGATTTGATATCCCGCCTTTCACTTCCTTTAAGGAGTCTCAAAGCGGCTAACATTCTCCTTTCCCTTCCTCCCCCACAACAAACACTCTGTGAGGTGAGTGGGGCTGAGAGACTTCAAAGAAGTGTGACTGGCCCAAGGTCACCCAGCAGCTGCATGTGGAGGAGCGGGAACGCGAACCCGGTTCCCCAGATTACGAGACTACCGCTCTTAACCACTACACCACAGGAGCAAGGAACATGGCCACCACCACCTAGACTGCCATGAGGAGCAACACCACCAGTAAGACAGGTGAACATTTCACCCTTTTTTTCATTGTCTCCCAAAAAATCACCTAAGAGGAAGAAGGATATCTTTGTGCAGCCTGTGTTTAGGGCCCTTTTTTATCTCAGTCCTAGGCACGAAATATCCAGTAATAAAAACCTTTTTAGTTTCTTGAGAAGGTTTGAAGTCCAGGATTTGTTTCCGTTTTAATTTTTTCAGACTCTCATACATCACCTACTCTTCTAAGGCTAGACTGAGTTGACATACTTATTCAGACCATGGGATAAGTGCCATATATATTATTCTTCCATGCCCTTTGGAGACATTATAAAATATCAGGATGATCTATAATTGAGGGGGAAATGTTCAGCAAAAGTTACATTTATCTCCTTAACCTGTCTCAACCCTGGAATAAAACTCCTTTAGGAGTCTTCAGAATTGTGCTTACTTCACAGAAAGTCGCTGCCTGGTGCCTAGGGTTAAACGAGACAACCAATTCAGAGTTGCAGGCAAACAGTTCCAGGAGCAGGATGTCAATCATGTCTAAATAAATCCCACCTTGCCTCCTGTTTCTCAGAATTGTTGTTTCTCAGTGGCTCCTCTCCAAGCAAGCTCAGTGTCAGAGAGAATCAGAAACAGGACATACAGCTTTCAGGACATGCATTCAGTCTTCTCTTGGGCTGCGTTTGATTGGGTCCACCTAAATGACTAGTTTTATAAAGGGTTGGGGTGCAGGCTTGCATGCCAGAATCAAAATTTTATTTTGTTTGCATGTCAATGAAAAGCTACCTAATCTGCACTTCTTAAAGCCGTATGTGAACCAAAACACAAATATCCTTCAAAATTAGCACTGCTCTGAATTTTGTGATGCAGGTCCAGTGCTTTTTTTCTGGGGGGACACAGGGGTACACATACCCCTAAACATTTTGTGAATCTAAGTTTGGCCTCATTGAGGGGCAGTATTTCAATATGAGTAGGAAAATGAGAGTACCCCTAAACATTTTTTAAAGAAAAAAAGCACTGTGCGGGCCTCTAACCAAACAACATGTGAAAAACAATTGCATGCAATTTGTGGCATCTAAATACTCCCACAATCTCCTTGCTTTGACCACGAGAAGCCAAAGTCTGATCCAGTAGGAGGCAAAATAAAAGGAGAGTCCTGTGCATGTTTCCTCGGGATGAAAGTCTTATTCCCTTCCTCCACAACTGATGGTAATGAAAACTACCTGTCCTGGATTAGGCTTTCAGGCCAGGAGAATGCACACACAACTTCCTCCTCAGGAGTGTTTAATGGAGCGACATGATGGTTATGGGCACTTTGCCTCAAGAAGTGATAAAGTTCACTTATTATATGGGATGAGAATCTCTGCCAACCTGTGTTTTTAATTGACATATACATCTGATTACCAATGTGCATCATTTTATATAACATTGCATGGAGCATTCCATTTGTAATACTTGATGTGCTGTAGCACTGCTAATAGGCTGTATTCCATGTCAATTCTCTTCCATGAATATATCTGTATGCACATCATTCAACTATGTTATGGATCAAAACTGATAAAAAATTCATAAACTAAAAATACTCCCTTGGACGTCACTTACACAACTTTTTAATTTAATTTTAATTATTAATAGTGTAGTTGCGCTTTTTCCTTTCTGCTTTGTGAAATGTGTGGCTGCCAGAGTATCTGCCTGACTTCTCTACTTTTATAGCTTTTTCAGCAACACCTTCAAGTTCCTTGAAGCATTTTTTTTCCTCATGCAAAGTTAATTAGGCAGTAATTTGTCAGCATTATTTTCACAGATACTATTGCAGTTTGACATTCTGCGATCAAGACGCGCTAGCCCAAATCCGGAGATATTTGCATCACTGTGTGTGTGAAGATCTCTCCCTGAAAACACGTGGCTGGGGCTATCAGCTTGGGCAAGACGATTGGCTCTGTGGATCCCTTCAGGCAAGTGATGGGTCAAGTCATGTGATCACCATAAACAGGATCAGAGGGACATACGTAGCTGGCTAGGTTGTAGGGGGTGTCTGTCTCTCTAATTTTGTGTTATGCCACACTTCCCATGGCAACCATATTGTGTTATGTCACATCTCCTCCACCCCAAATAGTAGATATTTTAAGACACTCCCTTAAAATTTTGAAATGTGCCCACTGATCCAAAATGTTGGGTACCCCCTTGTCCAAAATGATAGTTTAATATTGCCTCTGGGGTACCTAATGGTTGGGGATAGAGGAGAATCACTGAATCATTGAATGAGAAACTCTTCAGAGCTTGGGGAAGGTGAGATGCATCCAGCCAAGGAAGAGAGAGAGAGAGAGAGAGAGAGAGAGAGAGAGAGAGAGAGAGAGGATGAAGTTTGGAAGATACGGTATAGGGTTTCCAACACAAGGACAGAAACCCTGGTCCATCAGGGCTCCTCTCCACATGGTGCAAACCCTACATGCAAGTAAGGCTGCCTCTTTCAGACTAACACTGATCACATATCACCCAGGGAGCATATCTATCTGATAAAGTTAGATGAACTAATATGGTTCAGTTCTGATGCGGGACCTCTCAGTGGGAGACTGCATGATTTGCTTGCAGAAGGTCTGATGTTCAGTTCCAGACATCTCCAGGTGAGACCAGGGTAGACCCCTGCTTGAAACCCTGGAAATCCACTGCCAGTCAGTGTTGACAATAATGAACTAGGTGATCCAGTGGTCTGACTTAAGACAGCTTCTTAGATTCCTATGCACATTGCAGGGGAGAGGGCAGTGTAATGTTTCAAGTTCGCTATGCCTTCTAAATGATTTAAAATGCATTTGTATTATTTAAATCACCGCAAATGAACACCAGCAAGTAATAAAGGCAATAACAATGCATAAACAATTCCATCCATCTTCTAATCTTGATGAGCTTTTATATGTAATAGTGACATCCGTACAGCTGGTTCTGAAAACCGATGATATGTAGCCAATCAATCATACATTTCCATTTGGAGCGTATTCTGTGCATGCCTTATAGTCCTCTTTCTGGTTACATTATGCTTAGATCAATAGAGCTGAAATAAATAGAGAAAAACATCAAGCCACCCCCTCTCTCTTCTACAGAACATTGTCTCATCACAACATTCTACTATAACCTCTGAGAATTCAAAGCGTTACTGAAAATTAACTGGCTCCACATCGTTGGCAATCTCATTCACACCATCTTTGTTTCCAGTCATTCAAATAATTGTAATTTCAGCATCTCTGCACATTAAGTTTCATCCATGCTGACCCATATCTATTTCCCAATTAAAACGTTAAATTATATCTGATTTTTGCTAAACAGATTTTCCTTGGGAGGCATTAGGACATCTTCCAACATTTCTGAGTTCTAAGGTTTCCCAGGGACAGCAATTACATATAGCAACAAGTGTCCTAGTTCCGTATGTCAAGGCAAGATTTAATATTTCTCAAGGCATCAGGAGAATGCATAACTTAATGTAGAACAGCTTGGATGCGCCAGTCAAATACACAAACAAGCCCTGCGTTCATCAGGTGGCACTTTTTGCAACTGTCAAATGGGGAATTTGTGTAATGGCCAGGCCAAAGATGCGGGTATAGTTTGCACAAGTTCCCTTGAACTGGTTCCCCTTCAAATAAGCCAGCCAAATCAAATAAGCCAGTACTGCAAAGTTGGCTGACAGTACTTCGGGCTGTGACCACACCTGTCCTCCTTCCACCAAATTCATATATCAAACCTGCTGTGTGGGTGGTGGTTTGAAACTCCACAGGGGAAAGGCCCTTCAAGGCAGGAAGTGGGTAGTCTTGGGGACACTTGCTCTATACAAGTTGTTCAGGCTGAATCCGAACATTTATAGGACTAGGAGGAACCTTATTGGTTCCTTGTCCCTTGCTGAGCTGGTAGCTGCAGAACCACCCCCTCACCACCTGCAATGGTGGTGCTGAAATGCAGTAAGGAGTAGGCCAGCAGGTCTCTCCTCTGGATGATGACCACAGATGCACAGGAAATAAGGCACCCAAGTCCTACTTCTAGTAAAGTACTTGACATTTTACACCTCCCAATGCAAAGTTTTCCCATCATTGAAATCTCAGGTGGGGAATTGCTCAAAGGTTCAGTACTGGTCAACTTCAAACCGAGTCTAAAATAGAAATCTCTATGTTGAAATGAGATGAGCCTCCTCATTTTAAGGGAGTCGTAGCCATTAATCCAAATTGTCATGGTGAATTCTGTGAGTTGATTACGTAATATATGAAGAAGCATTTCTACATTATTATTTACGCATTATGTATTCTTCTTCTTGAATCTATTGCCCAATCAATTTCTTTGTGGAGAACCCTGTGGTCTAAGATTATGAGTGAAGGTGAAATAAATCCCTCTCATTTCTCTATACAATGAACACAATACCCCCCTACCATTCTTCCCCCCCTTTTTCACTAGGCTCTGCTGCCTGACTCATGTTGCTCACCACTCCCACCTGCCTTCTTGCTAACCCTCTATCCATTACACCTTACCCATTCCCACCCTTAGCCAACCTGACTACCTGTCACCCCACTGCATTGCCAATCCCCATTAACCCACAGTTTGCCCCAAACACCCCCTTCCCCACCCCCTCACAGACTGTCTCAATCCCAAGGTCCTGCTGCCGCCACCATTTGCAGAGGAATGAAGAGGAGAAAGTCTTTCCCCCCTTTGCTCTCTGCTACTGACAGAAGGAAGAAAACCAAAACATACTGATGGGTGAGAGACTAGAACAGTCTCAACTCAGAACCCACAATGTGAGTATCCCTCGCCTTTCAAGGGGCCAGCTGCACATATGCCTTAAGTCCAAAACTTTGTACTGCAGCCACCTTCCATCAAGTCTGGGTCATTTTTTTCTTTCATAAATCTTGTTTATTTCAGTTTTCCCCAAGTGTTTTGTGGCAACAGACACAGAAGTAAACCTGCTTCTATAGCAGGATTGGATGTGAAACTTTGACAGCCCTATTCCTTTTCTATATGAATGGTGGAAATAGGTTTGTCTACCAACGATAAATCCCATAATGTGCAATTGCTGGTGGAGCAGGATAGTGTGAGTTAAGTGATTAATTTTTATAAGTTTTAAGAAACAGGTATTGGTGTCAATAAGCAGATCAGAGAAAACAACAACAAAAGTACACAGCCATATCAAGAGCTATTTAAAATGTTTAATATATCACTAATATTCTGCCCTAGGCGTCACAGAAAGCATCGATCCATTCTCAACGGAATCGTGTTCACAGTACTCATAAAAGTGATGTTAAAATGGTCTGTCTTCATATTTTTTAGCCCTTCTAAAAATTCACTTAGGTCATTTCACAACTGTCCCTAACCATAGCTCAACATCTCTTTGGTTTTATATCATTTGAAGAAGCTCATCTTTATGTTCTTTCTATCTAAATGTGTTGAAAAAAGGGAGCAGGAGGGGGCAAATGTACCCATCTAAATTGAATTGGCAAGGATTGCCCCTATTGTTCAAACACTTCTCCACCTCATACTTCTGCACATATATTTTTTTTTAAATGACTGAGATAAACTTATGGTTAATGTCAGTGGCAGAGAGAAATATTGGAGTCTTTGGTAACTATGGCATGAACCTAGAAATAGCGGGTGGTTAACATAACTGAGTGCCTAACAAATTCTTTCTCTCTTGTAACGTGAAGCCAGAACTGGTGTAGCAGTCAGACTACAGACTTGGATCATCAACCACAAAGCACTAATCTACCTCAGGCACAGCTCGTGAGGATAAAAGTGGACTCTACCACCTCAAAGAAAAGGTGAGACGAAAATGCTCAGAACTGGCAGAACATCTGCTTTGTATGCACAAGGTCCCAGGTTCAATCCTGTACATCTCCAGATTGTATTGGGAGAGACCATGTAAACAGTATTGAACTAAATGGGTCAATACTCTGACTCAGTACAAGATATATTCGTATGTTCCGATGCAGAATAATAAATAGCAGTTTCAGTTTCAGAGTTTTGACATGAGCGGCATGAGCATGTCCACTTGGATCAAAGCTAGAGTACCAGCTAGGAAGAGGAGACAGGGAGGGAGAGAGATAGATAGATTTACTGTGGGAGGAAAATCTGAGTCTTCTCTAGCTATAGCAGTCCTAGCTAGTCAGGGATGACATAATGAGGGTGAGGCTCTCACTGCACTGTTGTTGTTTAGTCGTTTAGTCATGTCCGACTCTTCATGACCCCATGGACCAGAGCATGCCAGGCACTCCTATCTTCCACTGCCTCCCGCAGTTTGGTTAGACTCATGTTTGTAGCTTCGAGAACACTGTCTAGCCATCTCGTCCTCTGTCATCCCCTTCTCCTTGTGCCCTCAATCTTTCCCAACATCAGGGTCTTTTCCAGGGAGTCTTCTCTTCTCATGAGGTGGCCAAAGTATTGGAGCCTCAGCTTCAGGATCTGTCCTTCCAGTGAGCACTCAGGGCTAATTTCCTTAAGAATGGATGCATTTGATCTTCTTGCAGTCCATGGGACTCTCAAGAGTCTCCTCCAGCACCACAATTCAAAAGCATCAATTCTTCGGCGATCAGCCTTCTTTATGGTCCAGCTTTCACTTCCATACATCACTACTGGGAAAACCATGGCTTTAACTATACAGACCTTTGTTGGCAAGGTGATGTCTCTGCTTTTTAAGATGCTGTCTAGGTTTGCTATCGCCTTTCTCCCAAGGAGCAGGCGTCTTTTAATTTCGTGGCTGCTGTCACCATCTGCAGTGATCATGGAGCCCAAGAAAGTAAAATCTCTCACTGCCTCCATTTCTTCCTCTTCTATTTGCCAGGAGGTGATGGGCCCAGTGGCCATGATCATCGTTTTTTTGATGTTGAGCTTCAGACCATATTTTGCGCTCTCCTCTCTCACTCTCATTAAAAGGTTCTTTAATTCCTCCTCACTTTCTGCCATCAAGGTTGTGTCATCTGCATATCTGAGGTTGTTGATATTTCTTCCGGCGATCTTAATTCCAGCTTGGGATTCATCCAGCCCAGCCTTTCGCATGATGAATTCTGCATATAAGTTAAATAAGCAGGGAGACAATATACAGCCTTGTCGTACTCCTTTCCCAATTTTGAACCAATCAGTTGTTTCCATATCCAGTTCTAACTGTAGCTTCTTGTCCCACATAGAGATGTCTCAGGAGACAGATGAGGTGATCAGGCACTCCCATTTCTTTAAGAACTTGCCATAGTTTGCTGTGGTCGACACAGTCAAAGGCTTTTGCATAATCAATGAAGCAGAAGTAGATGTCTTTCTGGAACTCTCTAGCTTTCTCCATAATCCAGCACATGTTTGCAATTTGGTCCCTGGTTCCTCTGCCCCTTCGAAATCCAGCTTGCACTTCTGATTTGATTGCCTGTGTGGCAGCATCACTGAGTGCAAGTAAAGTCAGTTCAGAAAGATAGCAATCCATTGCACTGCCATCACTCTGAATGGATATACACTTTAAATGCCCTCTTTGATGTGATTGCTGGCAAACTGTTACAGGAGGCAACGTTTTTCAGCGCAGCTGAAAGTTCACAAATGTGCTGCACTTTTGGCTCAGCTTTAATTTCACCAAGTGTGAAAGATAAAGGTAAAGGACCCCTGCAGGGGTGTGGCACATGTCCTGGGGTGGGGCACGCCGCCTGCAGGAGTGTGGCGCCCAGCGTGGGCGGGAGGGCAGCCGCGATGCCACCCTACTGGGATTGCGCTGCCGGGGTGGTGCGCTCCCCCCGCACTCCTCTTCCTCCGCCAGTGGACCCCTGGACGGTTAAGTCCAGTCAAAGACGACTATGGGGTTGAGGCGCTCATCTCGCTTTCAGGCCGAGGGAGCCAGCATTTGTCCACAGACAGTTTCCCGGTCATGCGGCCAGCATGACTAAACTGCTACTGGCGCACGGAAACACCGTTTACTTTCCAGCTGCAGCGGTACCTATTTATCTACTTGCACTGGCATGCTTTCGAACTGCTAGGTTGGGAGGAGCTGGGAAAGAGCAATGGGAGCTCACCCTGTCATGGAGATTTGAATAGCTGACCTTCCGATCAGCAAGCCCAAGAGGCTCAGTGGTTTAGACCACAGGCGCCACCCGCGTGCTGTGTGTGTGTGCGTGTGTATATGTGTGTGCCCAAATATGTGTGTACGCATGCACAAAAAAGTTTTGGTATTGATTCTTAGTCTCTGGGTTGACTTTTGTAGCAATTCTTTCAACTTTATTATCTTACATCATGTACAATAAAATTAGCTATGATGGTTTCATGCATGCTTTCGATACTGAATGAAATTGCACGGGTCGAGACTTTTCTGCAATTTTGAATGGCGAACATTTGGGGCAATTTAAAACAAACTCCATTCTTTATTGATCCAACTTCTCTGCTGATGAAAGCTTTGGCACCTCATGCTCAATCATCAGACGGCTGTGTGCATGGTGCCTCTAGTCCACCCTTTGCCTTTCTCATCCTGTTTTCAATAGGATTCTCCTCTGCCACAGAAGAATTCATTTTCTCCATCTCTTGGGCCAATTGCCTTACTGTCAGTGATAGAGAGAACCTCTTGAAATCTTTATCAGTATAAATACCCACAGAGACTGAATCATGGCAGATTCCATGCTCACACCTGCTATTGCAGGTTTCTCCAGAGCTGACTGAAGAGACCATTCAGTGAATCTCCTCTCCCTCTCCTTTTCTCTGCTCTTGCAGGCTGTGAAAAGAAGAACCTTAAAGACTTTGATTCACTGTGATAGAGTGTACTAGACAGACTATGCTGTAAGTAAAATGGGAGGGTTAAAACCAATGGAATGAAAGAGACTGAACTAAAAGCACTGAACTTTCACTGAAGTAGTGGCTGGATCATGAATTAGCTACCATATGGGCCATGGCAATGATTCCTTCCTACTTTGTAGGAGAACTTGCCCATTAATGTTCTAAACAAGCTACATATCAGGGGTGGGCACAGCAAAGTCTGGCAATGGTGGGACAAGGGGACATTTATTTACAGAGGTTTTCCACTTAAAGAGCGGAATGGAATCTCATTCATCAAGCAATGATGTAGCAAGAGAAATCCAGGTTCAGCATGAGGTTGATGGGGGAACAAGCAAACAAAATGGAAAGGAATTGCCTTAAGACAGGTATCATTGGACTACAGCTCCCATCCATGGTGGCTGGGGCAGATGGGAATTGTAGTTCAATGGTATCTGGAAGACACCAGGATGGTGAAAATTGCCTTAAGTGGTAGAACTTTTCCAACTGGAGGGAGAAAAAGAATACTAGCAGCTCAAAATAGGCACACATGCAGTCTGTTGGGGTTTTCTAACCAACTGGTTTTGAGGCACCGTGAGATTTGATGCCATTATGCATAGGGGATGCTTGTGAATTGCACAGACCTGATTGACAGTTCCCAGAATAATGCATGGACTGGAACTTTGTTCGCCAGCAGTTTTCAGTCTCCACAAATGCTCCAGCAAAGTTCTCAGCTCAAAAAACTTATCAGAATGCACTTTTAAAATGTATTTCATAATGCATGTTTTGACGGAACTAGATTTGGAAATGCATATTTTTCTAAATAATAATAATATAAAAGGTTTTTATACTGTTGTTCACCAAACATGTTCACAGAGTGGCTTTATAAACAATAAGGTACTCTAAAGGCATAATAAACAATAGCATGAAACTACTTCTCCAGCTATATAAATATGATAATTAACAACACCATAAGAATTACCTAACCTAAGAACCCTAAAAACCTAGTGAGAAAGGCAAAATTTTACCTGTAGCGTATGACTACAGTGGTACCTTGGTTTAAGAAGAGGAGGAGGAGGAGTTTGGATTTGATATCCTGCTTTATCACTACCCAAAGGAGTCTCAAAGTGGCTAACATTCTCCTTTCCCTTCCTCCCCCACAACAAACACTCTGTGAGGTGAGTGGGGCTGAGAGACTTCAAAGAAGTGTGAGTGGCCCAAGAACACCCAGCAGCTGCATGTGTAGGAGCGGGGACGCGAACCCGGTTCACCAGATTACAAGTCCACCGCTCTGAACCACTACACCACACTAGCTCTCTCACTGGCTAAACTGTTTAAGAACAGTTTAGTTTATGAACAACTTGGATTAAGAACACTGCAAACCCAGAAGTAGGTATTTTGGTTTGTGAGCTTTGCCTTGGAAGTAGAACATGTTTCGCTTCCTGTTGAGTGTGTTCCATTTGTAAATTGAGTCCTCCGCTGCTATGGGAAAGCACAACTTGGATTAAGAATACTTTGGTTTAAGAATGGACTTCCAGAATGGATTAATTTAGTAAACCAAGGTACCACTGTATTTGTGCCACTTTCTCTGAAGTTGATCTGCAAGATTGGGATGTTGGTAATCTAGCTGTTTACTGTTCTGGTGCTAGTATTTTGCCCAGTGGCTCCACCTTCACTGCAGAACACATTGCCCCACAAAGCACAGGTGCCTGCCTCTCTGAATGTCTCTCACCTTTTCAAAAAGGCATTTTTGCTCCAGCGGAGTTTTGCCTGTTAATGATATGCTGTTTGATGTTTTAACTGCGGTTTCTGCCTTTGCTGTATTTTAATGTATCTTTTATAGTTCTATATGATCTTGTGTTTTTATTGTTGTGAGCCATCCTGCAAGCTGCCCTGAGTCCTCCATAGGCAGTGGAACTGCAGGATAGAAATGTTTCTATAAACAAACAAGCAAATAAAAAACGCCCCCTTGCATTCGGCCATAGGTAACCTCGCTGGTCCAACCTAAAGGCAATTTCATGGCTTCTCTTTGATCCATTCTGTATTTTCACCAACCAGATGCACTGTTTTTATTCCAGACACAAACATTTCCTTCAGTCTTTTAGCTAGCCTGTGCTGAGGGGCTTGCTTTTTGTGTGTGTGCGCGCACTTAATCTATTAATTAATTTATATAAATTTATAGCCTGTGCTATCCCTGAAGTATTAGATTGGGTAACAACAACCTTCCAGGAATAAAATCAATAAAAAGGGATCATAAAAGATTTAATGTCCTCATAAACTAGTCAAACACACAACTAAAAGAAATTCTTGCTTACTGGCAGGCCGTAGAATGCTGTCCTGAATCCAAAGGTCCTAAAGACCAGTCTCTGGGAGAATCTTAGATGAAGGTTTGCATCCAGAGTTGTTCTTCCGTGAACCCAAGGGGCCCTTCTGTTTGTGGAAAGGTCTTTGCTCCAGTGGAGACTCCCCTGCTGGAAAGGGAGGAGGCTCTCCCTTTCCCCCTGCAAATCCCCACACAATGTCCCATGCTGTTTCAGAGGGTCGCCTTTGGAGCAGAGTATCAGGGAACTGAAAAAAGGAGGACTTAATTTAAAAATGCCCTCTCCTTTCTTTCTCCAGCAGGAGGGTCCCATGAGCAGAATTCTGCTTGCCTCATCTCTCGATCAAAATGTGACTCTTTAGTGTATCTTCACAGTAAGGGATTTTCCCAGAAATGAAGAACAATGCCAATAACACTTCTTTATGTTCCTTTGCAGGATGAACTTGGCACATAAACGAGTCGCTCTGCGTTGATCCTATAAGTCATCTGTAAGAATAGCATGTCCACAGATCATTGTTTCAACCCAGTGTGCAGAATTGCTGTACACGTCTGCCCAAAATGATGGAGTGCAAATGTAAGCAGCATTCGGACCAATATGCAACATAGTGCTAAAAAAAAATGTGTACTATGAATCCTTCAAGCATCTACCCTAGAAAATCTAATAAGATTGGCATAAATTTGACCTAGACTGATTATTAAGGCGGCAGCGGCGGGGGGGGGGCAGGGGGCAGAGATGATTCACTTTTCTCATCAAAGCTATGAAAGAGGTCTTACCAGTTTTGAGTATTCTCGTGAACATCATATTCATTATTCATTTAGCTTCATTTTTAGGCAGGCCAAAGTTCAAGATTCATTAGACTGTTATTCAGTAGTCTGATTAGTTTAAAATGTGGAATCTGATACACCAGTTCATTTATTAATCAGTAAAGTTGACTTATTTCAGTGTAACTTCTTTTGACTCATTTGGTATTATGTCAGACTCAAAAGTACTGATTTAATGAATATCAAATAGCAAATGTGCAGTTCAACCATGAACCAGAAACTATAGGATACCTGCCACACTTAAGACATACTGAACTAACAAATAAGACTTTAGGCTATATCCCTAACTAAAGTTCCTCTGCTGCTGTTTATTGTGTGGTGGGGGAGAAATTTGTTTTGTTCAAGTTTGAATCTATCCAATTTGTACATCCTAAACCAATTAATGAAACACAGCTATTTTATAAAAGTTACACCTCTCTGAATTTTGCAATCGAGTTCTCCAACCCCAAGTTGTGCATATTAAAGAAAAGGATTTGATTTTTTTTCCATTTTTGAAAATAATGTACAGAACTATTTTATATTAGGGGATATGTCTTATTAAAATACATATATAAGAGAAAATGCAAGGAACTTAGGAAAAATGTATATAACATTATATCTGAATTTTCATGCATATTTAAAAATAAATAAATCACAGGATTCAACTAATGAGTCTCATCACTGGAAGCCTGCCCAAGAACTTCCACTTGCACAGTGAAGTCCCCCACCCACCCTGTCCCTCTCCCCACTTCTCCAGAATTGGCTCTGGTGGGGGAACAGAAGAATCCCAGAACTGTGTTGTGGGGAGAAGTGGATCAATCCACCTGGCTAGCTGAAAAGCTTGGAATTATCCCAAGAGCATGGTACTGAATTCCTTCCCAATTCCCATAAATGAGAAACTGAGAGAAGTCAGTTTTGTCAATTCCTATGTTAACTAGATAGATGATGAATGAACAACAGAAATGTGTGTGGAAATGGGTACATAAAGATCGGCAGTACCAGTTATGGGCAAATGCCACCTTTGCCTTTCTTTCAGAACTGGCTTTGCCCCACTTTCATTTCAATTTGTTCCTTCACCTCTCCACTTTGGACTTCTCTATTTTGTCCCTGCTCCATCTGCTGGGCTATTTGCTGCTCATCTCTGCACACTCCCAGTGCCAGATTTACATATAAGCTAAACAAGCTATAGTTTAGGGCCCCACTCTCTTGCCCCCCCCAAATATACTTCTTAATTGTATTTCACTATTAATATACTTCTTCTTAATTGTATTTCAATTCAACAATTACTTTGGTAAAATACATATTTTGCTATGCGCAAATGGCTTTAGAAACCTATTAAGTCCATAAATTACCATATAGCATATATTCAACACAAAAAACAGTGACAATTTGTTGTTGACAAAGGAAAGCTGGACATATGAAGGGCCCCGTTACCTTCAGTAGCTTAGGGCCTCATCTAAATCTAAATCCGGCCCTGCACACTCCCAATAACTCTGGTCTCTTTGCCTCCAAGCATGTTAAACATCAGTGTGTGGTATAGTGCTTTAGAGTGTTGGACTAAGACCTGAGAGGGGGGGTTTAAATACCCACTCAGCCATGAAACTCACTGGGTGATCTTAGACCAATCATGGTCTTTCAGCCTAACCTACATCACATGTTTGTTGTGAGGAGAAAATGGGGAAGAGAAGAGTCACATGCGTGACCTGGAGCTCCTTGGAGGAAAGCTGGAATATAAATGGAGAAATGTTTGCTATCTTCACCTGCATAAAAGACAACATATTGTATTCAATGCTCCATGTGCATAGTTCTGCAGGCACAATGGGAATTCCATTTCTTCTCCTCCTCTAACCCCTGTACCACCCCCCCAAAAAAATTCTCCATAGGGTCTCTGCCAGATGGGCAGGGTATAAATTATAAAATTATGATGATTATTATTACTCCAAATCTGATTTGAGGGTGTGCCAGGGGCTGAAGGGGACAGGAGAGGAAAAGGAAGCTCTCTTGTATCAGCAGAGCTGCAGCAGAGACCAACAGCTTAATTTCTTCAACTGGAGGTTTAATTTCCATCTAGCATGCAAAAGATTCTCAGCTGGAAAACATGGCTTCCTATAGCCGCTCAGCTCGGCCAGGGCTTTTCTTCTCTTCCCAGGATTATCATCCCTTTGAAAAGACAGTGATGGCAGGCCAGAGTGTGCAAGGCAGCTAACCCCTCAAGGCCTGTGACCAAAAAAAAGTAAAAATGGTGGTTTCACAGAGGCCTGCTCTGGAATAACAGCCCAGTGAGCTCGAAGAAATGAACCACTGACCTCGCAAAAGTGATTTTGTCACAATTTGGCCTTTGCAAGTAAGGGAATCAGAATTTGTTCTTTTTGCTCAGCTTCATCTATTACAGCCCCCACCCCCAAAGTAGAAAAAAGTGGGAGCTGTAGGAATAACATGTAAAAGCGAATCAACTGAGCAAAACGAAGAGAAAACAGCAGTCAGTCGGGAACCAGCTGGGGCCTGGAATGCCTCCATTTATGTCTGAAAGAAGGGCCTTTATTTTCACAAAGGAAGTTGGCATTTTCTAAAGGAACTTGGTGACTAAGTGTCCCGTCTCCCACTGATTTTCAATTATTCTAGTTTTTCTAAGTCTGCAAAACAATACCCATTTAGGAATCCCAGCTGAAAATGCCCAGCAACTACTATCTGGGGTTGTTATTTTAACCATTGGACCAAGGCAAATAACCCTGTTATGCTCTTCTGTTGTTGAGGGGCTCCCTCCCCATCAATTTATGAGTTTTTAAAATGGGCCATTAAGAAAAGGATGGAAAGTTCTAGATGCTCCCATTCATGCATCCACTGGCGTTTCATAGGCAACAATGGGTAAAAGGTATAACATAAATTTGAAGGGAATTGAATAAGATAAGACAGCAGTCGTGCTGAGCTCTGGAAGCTGGCCACTATCCTACACACCCAGTCATATTTATGCTGCAAAGCACAGGCGATTTTGTAAAACATGGTCTGGAAAAACAAACTTGGAACTCAACCCATAAATTCCTGTTCTAAGATTGCATATACCATCAACAAATTCAAACATTTAAGAAGATGAAAATACATTGCACCAATAATTACTTCTCCCATTTTCTCATCAAAGATCTGCTAATAGGTCAAAAGAGATAAGGAGGACATTCAGGCCATTTCCCACCTACTTTATCAGACAGAAGTTGATTGCATGCAAATGACTCATAAGGTAAAGGTAAAGGTAACCCTGCCCATACGGGCCAGTCTTGACAGACTCTAGGGTTGTGCGCTCATCTCACTCTAGAGGCCAGGAGCCAGCACTGTCCGCTGACACTTCCGGATCACGTGGCCAGCGTGACGAAGCTGCTCTGGCGAGCCAGCACCAGCGCAGCACACGGAAATGCGGTTTACCTTCCCGCTAGTAAGCGGTCCCTATTTATCTACTTGCACCCGGGGGTGCTTTCGAACTGCTAGGTTGGCAGGCGCTGGGACCGAGCAATGGGAGCGCAGCCCGCCGCGGGGATTCGAACCGCCGACCATGTGATCGGCAAGTCCTAGGCGCTGAGGTTTTACCCACAGCGCCACCCGCGTCCCTGCAAATGACTCATAGACAGAAATAAAAAAAACAGCAAAAAAATGGGTGAATCTTATTAACCTGGCCATCCAAACTCCTGTTCTCTTTCTTTCTCTGAAAATCAACCAAGAGCAGTTGGTGTGGTGGGATGGTGTCATGGAACTGCCATGCTGTCATCATTGTCACCGGCACTGAACCTAGATGGTTCAGGGGTGGGGCAAGGTGGTGGGGGTCAGTGCCATAGAGCTGCTCTACTGCCATAGCATCCATGTAAGTGTCAGTGGCTCTGCTGCACTGCCCTGGCCGCTCTTGGGATGAACTTGTACAAAACAGCCCAATATTTTCCTTTTGATTTCCTGTTCGGCCACACTCTAGGTTAACATTCTGTTTCTGTGGCCTGAGACACACTCCATAGTTTGAAATCTAATTTGAATATGTTATATTTTTAAAAGTGAATCCTGTCAAAAGAGCTGTTTGTTTACCGGATGCAGTCATGGCCTCTCAGCATTTCTCCTCTGTTTGGAACCAAATTATGAGGTAAATGATGAGACGCCAGTTCACCTTGAGGAAAAACTAATGGATCTGACTTGGTATGAAGACAGGATTAGATATTCAAATATCTGCTTAGACATCAACATTAAATTTGCAGACAACTGATGACCAGCCATTCAATGTCTCATTGAACCTTAACTGGCTCGCTTCAGACAGAAGTTGGGAATCTTAGACCCAGGGGCCAAATGTGGCCTTTTGGAGTTCACTAGTTGGCCCTCAAAACTCTCCCCAGGGCCCTTCCCTTTCCTCTCGCATGCTCTCCCCCACTGCTTTTGCTGGGTTTCAATGTGCCCTTGAAATCTGATAGTGCATCAATGGAGAATGGAGAGATGTTGGCTTGTGTTTGTGTAGAAATCTCTGACTTTTCTGGCCAGAATGTAGCCTACAGCGTTCAGTATCACATCCATTGCTCCACCAGCTTTTTCCTCTGGCCTTGCCCACCCCTGGAGAGCTGATCATGAGGGAACGTGGCATTTGGGCTGAAAGAAATTCCACACCCCTCACTTAAGGAGTGCAAGCTTTCATTGCTGTGAATAAGGTTGCAGGTGAGGTACCCCTTGAATGTGCCGTGTCTTGGTTGACACAAGATGCTGACATCTCTGCTGCATGCTAGCTTGGAGTCTTAGTGACCATGGCTCTCTCTTTGGTGGTTAGTGTGAAACTAGATGTGACCACATATTTGAATCACTTAGTCATTGTTTTTAACTTAATTAATCAGCACTCTGAGAGGACATGGATCCAAGAACCCTATTTCCCTTACTCTTTCACAGCCTTATGTGTACACTGTGTCAGGGCAGTCAGTGGCATCGACTTACATGATTATCTTCAGCCCAGGTGATAGCTATGCACCTCACTCCACCCCCAGATTACTGTATTCAGTTAAACACTTCAGGCTAGAGTTTCCAAGCAAGGAAGGTGCTTACTAATCCTGTTTATCCATTAATGGGATTATGCATACACTTCTGCAGTACATTACAGCATCGGGGTGAAGAAAGGGATGTGCTTCTTTTAACTTTCCATTCACACACTTTCATCCTTATGCTTTTCAAAGTACCTTCTAGGCTTCCTTTGCTTTTTCTTTCTCCTCCAGTTTAGAAGTTAGAAATGTGAGGAGTCAGAGTACATGCTTAAGGAAATCTACTCTATTTCCTCATGAGCTTTCCTCTCCCCTTCCCCCTAAATTTTATTACAAGGTGTCTGGCTTGCTTTTTCAGAGTTGAGAATTTCAGTGTAAGTAGCATCACCCAAGAGAATGACCTTGGCTATAGAACTCACTCATCTGGAGGGACCATAACTCAGCAGCAGAGCTCATGTGTTGCATGCAAATAGGCTCCAATTCCTGGATGAAGGGTAGTCTGTTCAAAAGACAAGCGGGCTCTCTATGACAACCTATGTGAACACTTTTCAGACTGTAATCTAGAACAGGGGTAGGCAACCTAAGGCCAGTGGGCCGGATGCGGCCCAATCACCTTCTAAATCCGGCCCGCGGATGGTCCGGGAATCAGCGTGTTTTTACATGTGTCCTTTTATTCAAAATGCATCTCTGGGTTATTTGTGAGGCCTGCCTAGTGTTTCTACATGTGTAGAATGTGTGCTTTTATTTAAAATGCATCTCTGAGTTATTTGTGGGGCATAGGAATGCGTTCATTTCCCCCCAAAAAATATAGTTCGGTCCCCCACAAGGTCTGAGGGACGGTGGACTGGCCCCCTGCTGAAAAAGGTTGCTGACCCCTGATCTAGAAGGTGGTTCCTTGAAAGTTGATCAATGGAAGTTCCTTAATGAGAGGATCCCTGATATCCCTAGAGATGCCATGAGAATCTGAGCCAAACTGAAGAAGGCCCAACTCTCATACCCCACCCTCTGTTGCTGGCTACTTCAAGAGGGAAAAACAATTTGGGGGCTAGGATGGGTCAGGAGATGGAGGCAGGAGCAGCACCTTTCATGATGAGAGAGGTCTGCTGAGCATCCCCTCCTTCCTCTGTGTTTAGAAAATGAAGAACACACAGGGAAGCTGGCAGCATCTTTTAAAGGCCAGGGATCATGGAAGTAAAACCCCATGAACCCCAGTCAGCATCCCAAGTTACCTGCAGCTAACTCCCCACCCCTCACACACAGCCCAGATAATGTATGAAAGGATAATCTAACTCTGACATGATGCTTTCCAGATGTTGTTGGAGCCCATCTCCCATCTATTTTGACCACTGGCCATGATGATGGGAGTTGAAGACCAACAATATCTGGAAAACACCACATGGGCCTCTCTTGTCCTGATGATTAGTTCTCACTGAGGGTACCATTCTGAGCGCTTAGAAGGCAACCTAGCTTGCCATTTGGAATAGGCCACTGAGTCCACCCCTCAGCGATTCTTGGCCTAGCCTCCACTGCCATGTCCAGTGGCAGAGCATGCTCTTCCTCAATTCCAAAACTCAAAAAGCTTGTTCTAACCAACGGATGGCTTTTCCACAGAGGACAAGTATTCAAAGCAGGCCATAAAATTGTCATGAGTTATAAATCAATGAAATTAGTACTGCAAAGCATTTAATCAATATTAAACTGACAATATCAGCAATGCACAGAGCCATATTCTATATGCAGCTGCATATGCAGGGATGCTAGCAGGGAATCTACCTGTAGCCTTCAGCTGGTCTAATACAACCATTCAGGTTTTTTTTAAAAAAATTACCCAATTTCACCTGAGTTCTTTTAAGAACAGAATCAATAGGCACATTGGAATTTAAATTAGAATGTAAGCAGATGTGGAGCTGGAGGTACCTAAATTTGTCAACCGCAGCCTACTTGGGTACACACAGACTGTGTGTTTTAGCATTAGATAGGTTCACCATGGTCTCGGTATTGATTCTATTAACGCTGGTTTATAGTTTTTACTGACTTGGTTGTCATCCGTCATGAATGAAATCTGTGACCGAAAGAAAGGAGGAGCACATCTTTGCTTAAACTTTACAGCTTATTCCCTTGGCAACTGAAATCAGGTTCAGAAAAATGCAAATGGCAGTGTCCTGTTATATGGGTTCCCCCCAGCCCGCCGCCACCAGCTTATATGTCTATTTATCATATAGACATGGGGCAGGCAGGGGGAGAGACTGCTTTTTTAAAAATGATTTCTACATTGACATAAAAGCTTAAAAGGTAAAGGACCCCTGGACAGTTAAGTCCAGTCAAAGGTGACTAAGGGGTGTGAAGCTCATCTCACTTCAGGCTGCGGGAGCCGGCATATAATGTTGGTTGGACCTTATCATATTACGGAATCATTTTAACAGACCTTCAGCACTGACCAAGCCCCAGATAGTCATCATACCTCAGATAAAACTTGGGAAATGCCACCAAGCCCATGGAAATTCACAAGCCACGGGGTAAAGGGTAAAGGGAGCTCCGCTTGGTTATGACCAAGCATAGTTAAGTTTTCCTAACCCAAATGATCTGCAACTTGTGCAAGTGTCTTCTATATGTCCTCGTGTGTGTGTGTGTGTGTGTGTGTGTGTGTGTGTGTGTGTATACACACACAGAGACACAATATATATATATATATATATATATATATATATATATATATATCTACAGTACAGTGGTACCTTGGGTTAAGTACTTAATTCGTTCCGGGGGTCCGTTCTTAACCTGAAACTGTTCTTAACCTGAAGCACCACTTTAGCAAAGTTCTTAACCCGAGGTACTATTTCAGGGTTAGCGGAGTCTGAAACCTGAAGCGTATGTATCCTGAAGCACATGTAACCCGAGGTACCACTGTGTGTGTGTGTGTGTGTGTGTGTGTGTGTGTGTGTGTGTGTGATCTCTCCTGGTCTCTGCTAGCCCACAAAAACACAAAAGCACATTCTGTATAAATGCAGAATCCCATTTTACAATTTGACCAGGCAAGGAAATGGATATTTGACCCATAATATAGTTGTCATTCAAACCTAAGCATATTTAGTCAGAAGGAAGTCCCACTGAGTTCAATGAGGATTGCTCCCAGGGAAGTCCTTATGTGTTTGCAGCCTTAAGTGTTATGAGCGAGGCAAATTCATACTCTGGCACAGGTAATTTCAATATTCAAAATTGCTGCGATGCTGTGCTTGTAGTAATGTTTCATGCCCCTGTGCACAGATATAAATATAAATAGCATGGAAGTAAGCGGGAAAGGAATTTACATATGCACCACATAGATTTTCATGTAGTTCAGATTCTGTTTATAGTCAAGCCTTCACATGTTATTGTCAGCTGAGGCCTTTCTCTGTGTGACACCTTCAAAGGACGTTTGCAGCATGGCTATAGGAGAGCAAGCCTTTTCTGTGGTGGCTCCCCACTTGCAGAATACTCTCCACAAGGAGGCTCCCCTGGCACCTTATCATTTCTTTCAGCACCAGGCAATAAAATAATATCATTTTTACTAGAGATTTGACCCTTCATTTGAAAGGTTTCAAGTACCTGTTGCTTCTTTTACTTGGGCAGGGTTTGTAAGAACTGTTATTTAGGTTTTTATTGGTTGTGTTGGTTGTAATTAATTTCAGTGTTTACAATATGTTTTTAAGTCACTTTCAGTGCCAGATTTACGTATAAGCTAAACAAGCTATAGCTTAAGGCCCCACTCTCTTGGGGGGCCCCAAAAAACCTAAAGGGAAAAAAATCTGGATGTACATTTCCAAAATATAAAATAAAAAACAAATAAAATAAAACTTACACACAGCAAGTGTGTTTTGTTGTGTAAGTAATGGGCCCCAGCTGCTAGCCTGCTCCCTAAAATATCACTGGTTTGCTCATTTCTATATCAATTACTCTGATAAAATACATATTATGCTATATGCAAATGGCTTTAGATACCTATTACTTCCATAAATTACCATATACCATATATTCAACACAAAAAACAGTGACAATTTGTTGTTGACAAAGGACAGCTGGACATATAAAGGGCCCCATTACCTTCAGTAGCTTAGGGCCTTGTCAAACCTAAATCCGGCCCTGGTCACTTTGGATCACTTTTCTGAGGAAAGCGATTAGTTGCCATCATTCAGGCATAGAATTTCTTCCATGGGGAAGGAGAGAATGAGGCCATGGCACTGGTGTGCCCCCAATGTCACAAGCGCAGCTAGCCCTGCCTTTGATACACATCCCCAAAGGGGAACATCTGCCTGACTAGCTAACCTTGCTTATGTCCTCCATGTGTTTGGGATCCCTGTGTACTTGGGGGGGGGGGGGTCCCATTTCTGCAGATGTCATGGTGAACAAGCCTATGTCAAAGTGCAAAGCCATAGGGGAAGGTGACATGAGGAACAAACATGCAATCTTCCTCCCCCTTTCTCAAAGTGTCATTTCTAAATATGGAGACGGTATGAAGAGGTCTGCAGGTGTATGCTTATGCGCATCAGTATAACTATTCCATGATAAACATTAACATTTTTCTGAGATCTGTATAAACCAGGGATCAGCAAACTTTTCCAGCAGGGGGCCGGTCCACTGTCCCTCAGACCTTGTGGGGGGCTGGACTATATTTTGAAAAATAAATACGACCGAATTCCTATGCCCCACAAATAACCCAAATAAAAGCACACATTCTACTCATGTAAAAACACGCCGATTCCCATACCATCCGTGGGCTGGATTTAGAAGGCGATTGGGCTGCATCCGGCCCATGGGCCTTAGGTTGCCTACCCCTGGTATAAACCCTTCACACTGTTAGTGCTTCCCTCCCTCCAGTTTCTCTATATTGCTTGATTCTTAGGTTTATACATTTATAGCAGCTAAAATATCTCCCTAATATCCCCAACACAATGGCTGGGGAGGCAGAACAGAGCATGAGCTTCAGCCAAAGAGGTGAATGTGGAAAAGAGAACGTGCTCTCAACATTCCACCTCAAGCTAATGTTATCAAATTCACCAGAGGTAAAATTCTCTTTTGAGTAAAACCTTGCCATAAATATATTTTAAACTCAGTTTCCTTTGTCTCCTCTCCTTTATATCTTTCCTCTTGTTCTTCCAGTGACTCTCAGGATTTATTTTTCTTTTAAAAAAGTAAATGAAATTAGATGCCTTGTCTGCAGGTAAAGTTGTTGGTTATTATTAACTGCTGGCAAATATTCCTTCCTTAGAATTGTGATGAAAACAAATTTAAGAACTAAACTTTAGCTCAGTGCACCTGAGGAAGAAATCTATGGCCTTTCCCATGTTTAAGCTGCAATTCTATTCCTATATAGCTAGGACTAAGCCCCACTGAAATCGAGAGGAACTACTTTTGAGAAGACAAGTACTGAGCTGCTGGGTAAAATTGTCACAAAATGTAATGTGATAAGACTTAAAAACAAGGCATTTGTTTACCTTCTGAAGCAGGACCACACTCAGCTGACTGCTTGACCCTCTCCAGATCTAAGCCCCTAACCCAGGCATAGGCAAACTCTGGCCCTCCAGATGTTTGGGACTGCAATTCCCATCATCCTTGACCACTGGTCCTGTTAGCTAGGGATGATGGGAATTGTAGTCCCAAACATCTGGAGGGCCGGAGTTTGCCTATGCCTGCCTTAACCTGTTACCAGCTGTCTTTGCTTTGGGAGGATGGCAGTGGCTCTCCTCAATGGCTGAAGTTTGGAGCTACAATTTCAAGGTTGGGGTAGAAGGAATAGGATATAATAAGGTGCATGCATGTGATGCTAATTTGCAAGTGAGAGAGAACTCCCAGAAAATATGCGTTCAATATGCTCTAGGGTTGTACGATTCTGTCAATTAATTTTTTGTTTTAGTTTCTCATTTTTCCAATCTCCACATCATTTTCATTTTTGTTAAACAGTCCTCATGAAAATTCACCAGCAGTCCCCCATCCATTTACTCATATTTTGCAATAGCTTTTCCAAACCATTCCAAATGGTGTGAACTGGCCATACTCAGCTTCATAATATCATCACTTGTAATTCTCTCATTCCATAGGAGAAACCTTCTTTTTTCCCCTCTGCCCTTTCTGTTTGGGCTTCTCTCCGCTTAGGAAACATTTCTCTCCAAAATGGTGCTGGGCTGCTTGTTGATATGATGAAACTATGCAAGAGGGACTGTGTGTGACAAGGAGAGGGAAGAATGTTACACGTCTATGCGTTCCAAAATAGTCACTTTTATTATTCTATGAAATATTCTTTTTGACTCTGCTTTTAATTAGTGCCTGCAATGCAATTACTAAAATAATAAATCTCAGCGTAGTTTTCCAGTTAACAGCATTCACCTCCATAAAAACATATGAAAGAAATAACCTTGAGAGCTGCTGCGTTATCCAGACAAACTCCTGAGCCTTTTTACAAAATAATAATCATGCGCTCTGTAAATTATTCACTTTCTTGATGAGTTTCTCAAGAATGTTTTTAATAAGTGACTAAGATGTTAACCTTTTGAGTTACAGAAGTCACATTTCTTACTATTTTTTAAGTTTTATCATTATTATTTTTTTAAAAAAACCTTTGCTATAACTTGCTATCACTATCATTTTGTTACTGAATGAAAAAGAAATTCAACCTTTTTAACATTCCTGAAAACTAGAGATGTTGTGAGAAAAGTCACTTTATTTTAAGGAGAATTGGGGCAAGTTTGTCTCACACCCAGACATCCTAGGTACGACTGGCTCTGAAGGCATGGATTATGTCATCTAACTAGATTGTCATCCTCAAAATTGTCCTGCTGTGGCCATCCTTGATGTTCTGCTGAGCTGCTTTGGAGAGTGGGGAGGTAGATTCATTTCCATAATTAACAGCCTCCTGCTTTCCCATCCTTACTGAAAATCCTCTTGAAATACATCTTGACAGGCTTACCTTCTGCCCACATAGAAGCGTGGCTGGTATATCATACAAGGGAAATGGAAGCTAGGGTTGTACACATTTCCCATTCCTATCTGTCAAATGTTACACAAGCTTGGTTGGTAGATCATGGGACTCTTAATCTCAGGATTGTGGGTTCGATCCCCACATTGGGCCAAAGATTCCTGCATTGCAAGGGGTTGGACTTGAGGACCCTCACGGTCCCTTCCAACTCTACAATTCTATGATTCTAAGTGAGAGCCAAAGTTTCGATCCTTACAAAAATGACTCTGCTCAAGCAATGCTATTCCCTGAAAAGACTGGGGTCAATGAGTGCTATGCTTGGAGGGCTGAGCTTTAGGAGTGTCACTGAGGGTTGGTCCCAGTATGCCTTTTTTAAATTAGGTATGGGTAGGAGTAGTGAAAATATTGTTTTTCACAGAACTTGTGACTTGAGCACTGAGTCATTTTCTGCCTGGGCAATCCTTATTGACCTCCATTCTTCACAGAGCAGCCAGGGATCCAGTCACTGTTCCTCAAGGTGAGAGAATGAACATCTATTTTGTTTCCGTTTTTCTCTAAATACTCTTGGCAGACGAAATTTGCTTTAAAGGATACAGTGATAAAACTAGGGTCCAGAACAGTGTCTGGCAACACTGCTTATTGTGTGTACAGCTCTGCCTAATAACTTATTTAGGTTTTCGTGAATGTTTGGGGTTCAGGCTTCTTGGAAAACAGCTGCAGTTGTCTTTCCAGATTCAACCCTTCAAGGACTATCAGCCACAATCCTCTATGCTCAGCTAGGGAAAAGGACAGATCCATATGCTGGTATTTCTTTTTCCTTAGCTGACAATGTGCTCCCCATTGTCTGCCTTCAGGACTTTGGCCACCATCTTTTGTTCTTTTCTGTGATTATTCATCAGCACTAAAGCAAGCAGAATGGTTTTCCCATCCCCCTAAAATTAGATCTCAAGCAGATAGACCAGAGTATTTTTCTCTCAGAGTATTTTCTCTCCAGCGGTCATGTGACCAATATTTTAAAACGGACGTTTTAGTCATAATTTTGCAAGATGTTTTGTCATTATGTTTTGGAAAAAAGTTGTGTTGTTAAAGGTCTGTAAATTAAAATAACAATAAAAATCCAATAGATTAGATGTAGCAGCAGTGCTTTCTAGCAAGCTTAGATAGGGTGTCGTTCCAGCACATCACTGTTGGCCACAGCCATCTTGAATTGCCCCCCGCCCCGGTGACTGATGGCTTCAACTTTGTTCCAGTAACTCACCCTCCAAAATGCATCACAGGTTTAACTTGAAATAAAGCTGCTCATCCAGTCCATTTTCTAACCATAAAACTGGCACAAAGCAGCCCCATTCTGGGCCAAGCAAAGAGAAATCTATAACCTACTCTGATATGATAAAAAGCAAGATGCTGAAAGTCTTTCAGAATGAGTTGAGCATGAGAATTTAATGTGGTGAACACTTACTACACCAGGAGATGGATGAGGTCCAAGGGAAGTGGGAACTCGAGAAAGGTTGATTCTTAAGCTGCACAACAAGAAGTTGAGAATTGGTGGGTGAATCATAAGCACACTGGTTAAAAACAAATACAGGGAAGAAACTTTTAGGTGATGAGGCTTAAGTGTGATTGGGTGTTGTAGGAGGAATCATCTGAGAAAAATAAACTCACAGGCTCATAGCCAGTGGCGACTATCTGCTGATAGAAGGAAATTCATCACCAGAATGGGGGAGGCAGGTAATTTTTCACAATTAACCTCCTCATGCAGCTATCTGCTCCAGGGGGTCCCTGTAAGTGGAGGGAAATTCATGACAATTGCCTCCTTCCCCATTCTACTAACAGATCCTCTTCCATCAGCACAGAGTCCCCATTGGACACTTCCCATTGACTTCTAATCATGCATCTCTAAAAATAAATACATTGTTTTATTGTTTATTATTATGACTTAATACATTTATATTCTACCTTTTAAAGAATTTGACCCAATAATATTAAGTTTGGGGAAGTTTTTAATGCTTGATATTTTATTGTGTTTTTGATATTCTGTTGGGAGCCATCCAGAATGGCTGGGGAAACCCAGTCAAATGGGTGGCATACTACTACGACTACTACTACTAAGTTAAACAAATGCACAATGGTCCAATAAAACACATAAAGTCAGAAGAAAATACTCATATATAAACCAATTAAAAATCAACAATAGAACAAAGTAGCCAACTCAAAATAACTATGATATAGTAAAGGCAATCAGTAGGAAACACAAATTGAGCCCAGTGGTAATAGAAGTAGCATTTATTAATTCATGAATAATCACCTTTTACAATTATTAATAACAATACATTTTATAAAAAATTATTACCTGCCCTTCATCAGCAGGTCCCAGAGCAGCTTACAACAACTTAACATTCAAAATTAAAAAGAATCACAGGAATAGGGCGGGCTCATTTGATTTAAGATATGCCTCAAGGCAACTTACAGTTATATCATAAAAACAGTTGAAAAATATTTTAAAACAGTACAAAACCCCCTCTAATAATAGGTTTTAAAACAGTACAAAATGAACACCTAAGGCAAAGACCTTTTCATCCAGCTGGAAAAGCTTCTTGAAACAAAAGTGTCTTCATTTTCTTTCTGGAAAGTTCAGATAGTTGACCCTTGTCACGTCTGAACAGTAGAAGCAGCAGTCAGCATAGGCTACATTTCCCAGAATATATTTGAAGACTTCTCCCTTGATCACATACGTTGTATTTATAAAGCAACAAGCAAAGTGCAAGAGAATCCTGTTGATTCTTCAAATGAGCTAAAAACAAAGTTGAAATGGTTCCCGTGTTGATGATGCCTGCAGGCAAGTCTGAAAAATTCTGAAAGAAAGAAGCCTGTGGGGTGTCAAATAAAATACTGCTTTGCCTTCTGCGTTAAACATCCAATCAGTTGCATTGTGTTCTAGCATATTTTTACAGGCAGAAGCTAAATAATGGAATAGGCTGATTACTCACTTCAGATGCCCAAAATATATATACTGCAGAAGCAGCTGATAATGGCATGTTCAACAGGTCAACAGAAAGCGTGTACATCCCCTTGCTATAGCCATCAACTTCATTTTCTGCAATTTGGTATTGGTGTGCAAGGCTAACACAACTAAAAAAAGGACATTCCTAGAATGCTTCTTTTAACAAAGAATTTAGTGACATGGATGCTATGTGGGGAACATGGCTAAGAATGCAATCTCTCCATTGGTATATGGAAATATTTCTAGAAAATGGGCATCTAGTTCATATAGATATTAATAAAATAAATAACAATAGTTCATCACTGCTGGAAACAGTCATATTGTCAGGGATTGGTCCAAGGAGGAATGGTGGAGTCCGTCCCTTCCTCCTCCTGCACTTCCCAGAGAAAAGGGAGACTGTATAGATTTACAACAGTGGTTTGCAGAAGGCCATAGTTCAGAGTCTGCAGAAGGGAGAAGCTGGGAAATATTGGGAGAGGAGCAGCAGGACAAAGAAGCACAGGGGGCGGGGACAGCTGCTAGACTCAGTGTCTTTAGAAAGCATTCCTGACTCCACCCTCTCTACCAGGTCCCGACGGACATTGAGAGTGGCAGAACAGAAAGCTTAGAGGCAGAAAACACAGATCAGCTGACGCAGGAATGACATAGAATTGGAGCGACGAAGTGGATGGGACTTTACGCAGAGCAATGCCATTATTGCAACAGAGAGGCACTTTTCAAAGCCTATCTCTGTGAATATTGAATAAAGGACTTGATAAGAACTCTTTTGTTTATCTGCTTCTTGGCTGCCCACCGTGGGAGGGATCAGATTCCCTGAAGCCTATATGCCTTTTCCAGATCTAACCAATATTCTTTTGCAACAGCACATTTCTTTCTCTCTCTCTCTCTCTCTCTCTCTCTCTCTCTCTCTCTCCACCCATTGGAATCCTTCAGTAGCCACTGTAACTTTCGAAATAGGACTTAACCAAGGAGAAACGGGGAGAGTGAACCAAAAATCCCTTCAATCTTCAAGATGCATGAGTACCTGTACCATTTCCCTCATTCTATTTTGTCATGTCCCATGGCAATTGTGCCATCTGCCCTACTTCGGCGACAGTTACAAAAGTATGGCATGCACATCTTCATCTGGAAAAGCGAAAGTATAGCAGCCTGATGGAATACTTGCTATAGCATTAGTAGCCTGCTCACTAAGCTTGTAATCAGAAATGCTAGGAAATGTCTTCCCAATAGGGAGTTTGTGAGATTTCCCATGCAGTTTAGCTGGTTTTCATCCCTTTCTTATCCTACCAGCTGCACACTGCTTACTCCACTCTAGTAGTCTTGCTTTCAGACCCAGGTTCCCAGGAATGAAGATTTGATGAATCAAGGAATTGATAAAATGATATATTTATTAATATGATGAAAAGACCTTGTGCTAATCAAATAAAACAAGTGTGGTATAATACAGGTATAGTCTGTATAGGTAGGCAGGAATACTCCTGCCTGCCTCTGAAAGCCAAACTCTTATCATTCATGTAGTTGTGATGGTAGGCCAGGTAAAGGTCTTTACTTACAAGGTAAAGGTAAAGGTAAAGGATCCCTGGATGGTTAAGTCCAGTCAAAGGTGACTATGGAGTTGCGGCACTCATCTCGCTTTTAGGCCAAGGGAGCTGGTGTTTGTCCACAGACAGCTTTCTGGGTCATGTGGCCAGCATAACTAAACCGCTTCTGGCACAATGGGACACTGTGACAGAAGCCAGAGTACATGGAAACTCCATTTACCTTCCCACTGCAGCGGTACCTATTTATCTAATTGCACTGGTGTGCTTTCAAGCTGTGAGGCTGATGGGAGCTGGGACAGAGCAGCAGGAGCTCACCCTGTCATGGGGATTCAAACCCCAACCTTCTGATCGGCAAGCCCAAGAGGCTCAGTAGTTTAGACCACAGCACCACCCTAAAGGAACGTCATGGGAGTGTGGCGTCACCTGTGCCAGCTACCACCACTGTTCAGCATATGTCACATGCCAGGTCATAAAAGCAAAAGAGCGAGGTGCTCCTCTTGACAGTCAATAATAGGTGGAGGTTGGTGATGTACGTTTCACCCACCTTGGGGTGTTGCGCATGTTAAAATCCACATACAAGTCTGCACTTAATGCCACAAGGCAACAGCCAGATTCAACCAAAGGCAGTTGAAGTAAGAGCAGTGTAAGAGCAGAATTAATATTCTGCCCTTCATCTGAATATCACAAGGCAGTTTACAATATCCTACTCAGTCCCACATGGCGACTGGCAAAAATCCACAATGCTCAAAGGGTGGGAGGGTGTGATGCTGAAAAGAGATAAAAAAGAAATGCTTGGGAGTGGGAATGCCATTTTTAGATCAGATCTCTCAAGCCTAACAAGAGACCACATGGGGAATTTCTCATTCTTCACTCCTTTCCTTAAAGGAGAAAGACTTTTGTGAGCCTTCCTTCTTTAAGGGGTGGGGAAAGTTCACCTGCAACTCTTGGCCAGGAATGACAGTGTGCCAGGCAGAACTGAAAAGGAAGCTTCCGGAACACTTCTGGCAAACAAACAAGTTTGTGACATGGAAAGTGCCTGAAGAGCAAGGAGTTAAGAATATATTGGAGCCAAACAGGAGGAGAAGTTAAAGTAATAGAAGAGAAATTGTCTGAAATGATTTGTCCATTAATCCAAGGCTGTCATGGGAGTCCAGATAAATAATGTGTTTAGTTTCAGCTATTTCCCTAGGTCAGTTATCTTGTAATCCTTCTTGTTCAAGGGCATGTAGGGAGAAGGCAGCAAGGTCATGGAAGCCATGATTATGTGAAATGAAGTGGAAAACCAGACATCTTTTTGGAGGGCTTCTGATTTTGTTACCAAGGCACCTGCCAGTTTCTACGGTGAAATGCACAGCTACAGGGAAGAAACCGGAAGATCCATCAGTTGAGGGGGTAGACGGGGACCTCCTGCCCAGGAGAGGAAAAGAGTGAGTAATATTTGGCAGCTGTCTACATAGTAGTTGCACACCACCTAATTAAACCATGCAGCTCAGTTTAAAACTAAACTAATCTGATGGGTTTTTGTTGCTGTTGTAAATGAACAAATAAGCAACGTATACATGTGATCTTTAAGAACTAAGAAGTTCCAGGACAATGGAATACACAATGAGTCTATCCAAATTCTCCTGAACAACTTGACCAAAGAGACTGTCTTGAAAACTGAGAAGGGGGAGAAAAAAGAATGCATTTCAGAGTCCATAGCCTTAGAGAGAACCCTCCCCAACTCCAGCAGCCACCTGCAGAAACCAGAACTGTGCCTCTGTTTCAGGAAGAAAGCAGAGCTTTTATGATGGCAGTAGCCATTAAACCAAACCAAAACTCGGACAACCTCTTTGTATGATTGGGAATTCATACGTTTCCCCCATGTCCCCATCCCAACTGTCACTATGTTGTGCAAAACTTCTCTATGTATGGCCCTGTACACAATTTAGAGCTGAGAATTTTAAGGGCAGAACTAAGCATATGTCCCCCCCCCCCAGCCCTTTTCACCATTCATGCTGACCAGTGGCAGATCTACATTTGGGGGGCCCTGAAACTTGAACGGTTGTGGGGGCCCTTTCACAACCAGCAATGAGGTCTGGGTAATGACGGTTATCTTCTTCAATGGAGTTGTTCCATGACAGAGCATCATACCTTCACAACATCTGTACTACTGACCAGTGCTTTTTTCCCCTGGGGGTATGCATACCCCTAAACATTTTGCGAATCTAAGTTTGGCTTCATTGAGGAGCAGTATTTCAATATGAGTAGGGAAATGAGAGTACCCCCCCTTTTATTTTTAGGAAAAAAGCACGGCTGCTGACTATTAAACTTCAGGAGTGTTCAAATATATACAACAAAAAATTTGTCAATTTGAGTCGCGCCACACAAATTGGGTCTACTGGATGCCAAAATTATAAGCAGTGTTGGCTAAAGTTGCTTCTGGGCCCCTGAAGCTTAAGCTTCATTACTTTTATGGTAGATCTGCCCCTTCTGCTGACTTCATATGATTAACAGGTAGAGTAGCCCTATTTCAAAAAGTAAAAACCAAGAAACCACTGAAGTTGTTGAGCTTTTAGTCCAGCACCCTGTTCTTACAGTGGCCAACCTGGTGCTTATGTTGAGCCTGTAAGCTGGAGATATCCCCAGCGACAGAGTGAGCTCCCATTTCTCTGTTCCAGCTCCTGCCAACCTAGCAGTTTGAAAGCACGCCAGTGCAAGTAGATAAATAGGTACCACTATGGCAGGAAGGTAAATGGCGTTTATGTGCACTCTGGTTTCCATCATGGTGTTCCGTTGTGCCAGAAGCAGTTTAGTCATGCTGGCCACATGACCCCGAAAGCTGTCTGTGGACAAATGGCGGCTCCCTCAGCCTGAAAGCGAGATGAGTGCTACAACCCCATAGTCGCCTTTGACTGTATTTAACCATCCAGGGGTCCTTTACCTTTACCTTTTACCTAAGCTGGAGGTGGGCACAACAGCCCACCTGCAGCTTCCAGAAACTGGTATTCAGGTGATTACTGCCTCTGACAGTGGAGGTAGAACACAGCCATCATGTCTAGTAGCTGTTAATAGACTTGTCCTCCTTGAAATTGTTCATCCATATAGCCATCCCTATGGAATGCAGAATCCATGAAGTCCACAGGCAAAACTGCTCATCCTTGCATGAGCACTATACTGTTTTGATAGAGATGTGCTTTCTGAAACTTTAGGGGTAGCACTTGCTCGAATGTAAGGAGCACCCACAAGGGAACATCTTTTCACAATTTACTTCACATGCTATAGTATTTGTGAAGCGGAGGTCAGGTTGGTTCTGAAGAAGTTACTTTGGCTTCTTGCTAATCACTGACTGCCTTCAGCAGAATTATAGCCATTCCATCATGACAGTAAATGTCTCTGTCTATAATTTATATCCTTGAATTATTTATTCCCAATTACTTCTCCCTTTCTTTTTTGGTTTAAACCCAGCCAATATATTAAAAGAATTAATTAAACAAAATTCCATGTCCAGGCCTTTGATGAACATTCCAAGAAGGCAGGCAGCTCTTCAAGATCAGGGGTGGAGGATGTTTCTCAGGTGGAATCTACACGCATATAAAAACTATTCTGAAAATGCTTTTTTTAAAAAGCTTTTTTAAAAAATACATTGAATTTTCCATAAGGCTCACCATCGCCATCTGGTGTCACATTGTGAATTGTACTTAAAACACACTTAAAATGCTTTATTTGCAGCTGTATAGCTGAGTCCTCAGTCTGAGGGCCCCATTCTCTCATAAGCAGTCTTCTGTCTATTTCCTCCAAATAGTTAAAGGAGGCACACAGACCTCATTCCCCCCTTCTCACAACAACCCTGTTAGGTTGGGCTGAGAGACTGGCCCAAGGTCACCTAGTGAGTTTCATGCATTTGTTTTGAATGCACATTGCTGTGGAAACATGGGGTGTGTGTGTAAATATATAAAAAGATAAAAATAAAAAAATTGTCCAGTAGCACCTTAGAGACCAACTAAGTTTGTTCTTGTTATGAGCTTTCGTGTGCATGCCCACTTCTTCAGATACACTGTTTCATACCAAGAAAGCTCATTCCAAGAACAAACTTAGTTGGTCTCTAAGGTGCTACTGGACAATTTTTATTTTTTTATCTTTTTATATATTTCTACTGCATCAGACCAACATGGCTACTTACCTGGATCTAGAACCATGGGATGTGTGTGAGAGAGAAAGAGGTGGCAGCATGAACATGTCCTCATTGCACACACAGTGAGCAAGATGACAGAGTCCTTGGAGGATATCTTGAATATCCCTTTCCAATTAGCTTTTTTTGCTGCTGATTCTCTGTAATGTTAACCAGTACTGCAGCCTCCAAGATTCTTTTATAACCCTTTTCTCTCTTGCAGGTTTCATTATACACTCTGTCTTCTCTATAAATGTATATGTGGCAGTGTGTTCATTTGATTGTATATGCAACGGACACCAGCTTGCATTGCCTTCCACTTAATTAGATCAAGGGTTATTTAGATATTCCATTTAATTTGATCAAACCCTTTCTGGAGCCAAATTATTTGTCTGAGAAGGGGCAGCACAACTTGTTCCTTTTACTTTGATCAATCTTGATCACTTTAAGCACTTGCTTGAGGAGAATTCAATCACTGGCTTGGGGCATTTTCCATTCAATTAATAATAAGAAGAACAACATTCTGAAAGAGGAAGGAAAGTGCTCTGGATATGTGCATGGAAATGTTTTGCAGGCATTATTTTTGCAGATATATCTGGTTTTCTCTACTGGGGGAAATGGAAACATTGCAGCTGGAAGCAGGATCCATTTCTATTTGCATTATCTGTAAGCTGTTGCATTTTTTTTCTGGCAGCAGTTACATGGATAATTCAGTCATCAAAGTGAGAAATAATGGAGTCAAAATAAATAGAAGTGGACGTGTGTGTGTGTGTGTGTGTGTGTGTGTACATTTATCTTATGTACCTTTTAATGTATCTTTCAAGTGCCATTTATCTTAGTGGGTGATTTAAGATTTAAGTGGAATGAGAATTACCTGCCAAAATATTATTTATTCTTATTTATTTATTCAGTTTATATACCACCCTTTATCAAAAGATCCCAGGGTGGTGTACAACACCAAGAAGGCATTACGGAGCATCAATAATAAAAGCATAATAAAAAGCCTAATAACAGACAACATAATAATAAAATAATCATCATAATAACAGCTCTTCCCCCACCCTGCTTTAACAGCTTATGGTGGGCCAGGATTGGTGTTTTATGCTCAAATTGTCTTGTCTGGTGAGCAATTTGCCCACTGAATTTTACACCAGCTGAAGTTTCTGAACTGTCTTTGGAGGCAGTCCCACGTATAACGCATTGCAGTAATCCAACCTAGAGGTTACCAGAGCAAGTTAGGCACAAGTTCTAAAAGTTCTGTAGCAGTTTTTATAATGACCAGCTGGAACAGTTGAGAAACTGGAGAAGCCAGCTAAATGGAGATGATATTATCAGCAGAGCTGTTAGAACAGCTCTGCTTCCCATTCCCCCCTCTGTTGCAGAATGGCTGTTGCCAGGTTGACAAAGGGTGGCTCTTGATGGAACCGAGGTGTCAGTGGAGCCAATGGAGTGGCCTTGCTTCCACTCTCTCCCTCTGCTGCAGCCATAGGCTTAAGCAATGCCAGTCATCATTGCTAGTTCGGGGACATACCAGCCTACAGTCTACATGGCTGATGAGAAGAATGATCAGTATTCCTGTGTTTCTCTGGAGTTTTACAAAGATCTCTCTATCTTCAACCACATGGTCTTATTCATCAATTTTTTATTTGTGTTGTGAAGTTTCTTTCTGTCTTTCCGTCTTTCTGTATTTCTTTCTTTCATTCATTCATTCTGCCATCTAGATACTGATTTTGCTTTATTCAGAAGGTGAAAGAAAATAACTTCGCCTTGTGAATAAATGGTAAAATCTTTCTATGTTCCTAAAGTGCTTTTGCTTTCCATGTGCTGAGCGCTCCAAACACTTCAGCAAAGTGGTTGTGTCGATATATCCTTATGTAATAGAGAGTAAGAGGATTTTCAAAAGTAGACTTTAAAAAATCCATCTATATGTGGGGTGGGGCGGCTATCCAGTGACAAGTGAGATCGAGATTCTCAAATGAAACAGTAAGATGTATGAGGAACACATTTTTCTTTTAGGTTCATTAGTCAATAGCAGCAAAGTCCACTGACTTTACTTGGAAAAGATAGTTGCTGGGAACATTTGAACACAAGAGGGGATTTCTCAAAAATGGACATCTAGAAAATAAGTTACCCCCCCCATTTTCTTGTTGTTATTATATATATTCTGGTTTTATACCTGTTTTATACCTGAAGGAGCATCTCCACCCCCCATCGTTCAGCCCAGACACTGAGGTCCAGCTCCCCGGGCCTTCTGGCGGTTCCCTCACTGCGAGAAGTGACGCTACAGGGAACCAGGCAGAGGGCCTTCTCGGTAGTGGCGCCTGCCCTGTGGAATGCCCTCCCTTCAGATGTGAAGGAAATAAGCAGCTATCCTATCTTTTAAAGACATCTGAAGGCAGCCCTGTTTAGGGAAGTTTTTAATGTTTTATGTTTTATCGCATTATTATTATTATTATTATTATTATTCTCTCACTTTGGTTTCCTCTGTGTTCCAGCATACACAACAGATGTAGTGAGCTGAGCCAATCCTCCCCTCCAGTGATATCTGCTGCTTTTCTTTATACTAGCACAGTGCCTCCAAGAGCATTCGCTTAGAGTAGGTGCTGCCATGACATTCCTCTTCTGACCTGCCTATCACTGTATCTGAGCTGTCGGATGATAGGCTCAGCCAGGGGCAAACGAAGGCGTCATGACACCCGGGGCGGGGCGTCGCTATGTAGGGCACATGTGCGGCATCGCTACATACGACGCATGCACTGTATGTCGCAATGCCACACATGCACTGTACATAGCAGTTTGCCGCCGCTGCCGCTCCAGTGCCATATGGACAGTGCCGGGATCCTCTGCTCATGGCTGCAGCTGTGAATGGAGGATCAGGATCCTCTACATGTGGCTGTAGCGGCAACGGAGGAATCCCACTGCCGTCCGTATGGTGCTCAAGCGGTGCCAGCAGCAAACCGCTATGTACAGTGCATGTGCAGCGTCGTTACGTACAGTGCATGTGTGTGACGCCACACATGCGCTGTACATAGCAGTTTGCCATCGCACCGGGATCCTCTGTTTGTGGCTGCAGCCGTGAATGAAGGATCCTCCACTTGCGGCTGCGCGATGGCTGCTTGCGCTGCCACAGCGGGGCGAGCCTTCTTGTCACCCCCCCCAGACATGGCACCTGGGGCGCACTGCCCCCCTCACCCCCCCCCCCGTTGTGACGCCACTGGGTTCAGCACCACTGGCTTGCCTTCACCTTCCCTCCCACAAACAAACAAGGATCACCTGGCGATCCACACCTTCGTACAGGAGTGGGCTAATTTCAGTGTTCCATGAGTTGCATTTTTCTTTTCACACCCTGTAATCCACTGGTACATTTAAGATTTACAAAGCAGGAGTTAATATTCAAGGTCTCTTAACAGTTAATACAAGCCTAAGTGATCTTGAGTATCACTTAGTACTGTTGCTTAAGAACGTAAGGAATGCCTTGCAAAATCCAATCAAGTTTCACCTGACCTATTATTATTTGAAAGATTCCCAATAACCATTAGGTGGTAGGTGATTCACTGGAAGTTGACCAGTGGTCTTCCGGTGGGACTATAGTCTATTTCTGTCCACCCCTGCTGAAATTCTATCACCTGTCATCACTTTGAAAAGCACTGTCCACACAGGCTGTTGTATTAAGAATCTCCCTCCAACCTGCATCTATGTGCCTCAAACTGTTCAGGCGTCTTCTCTAAATGACACCATTGTCAGAAGTTTATTGTGAATTTCCAGTTACTATAGCAACACTATAAACATTTGTAAATCTCTTCACTTTTAGCCCATATATTTTATTTTAGGTCACAAAACAGATGTACACACGCTACACATTATCCCCCCTCCCATTTATTTTCCCCTAACACTCTAGCCATTGGGGAAATTATTGGTTGAAGAACCAGGTAGTAGGCTGACAGCTTAGAGTAATGGACATTCTGCTTTGCAAATAATCAATGGAACATTTGATTGAATAAGTCCTCCATTTGTCTTAAAATATTTTTTTATGTTAATATAACACTTCGAATAGAATTGGGTTCCTTCCCCCTCACAGTTTTAGTCCCACATTACAAGTGTTAATTAAATTACTCTCTGTCCAACTCCACTGAAGTCTATTTAAGGCTCCCCATTGACTAAATGGATTATTCCCTACGGCAAACAGCATTCTGTGAAATGCCACAGCAATTATGAAATAAAGGGTTCCTCCACAAACCTTTGAGAAGGAATAGTCTAAATCCCTCAGCTCAGAAGGCGGGGGGATCACAGAAGCTTTGCCAAATCCCTTAGGGAGTAGCAATCTGATTTTCAAGGCAGTGGGGAAATACTGGACAAGTTTTGCCAACATCCTGTCAGGTAAATACTGACACTCATCTTGCTCAGTGTCAGGAACATGGCGGCAGAACCCAACCCTAGCCACACTAGAGCTCACCCCAAGAATGAGATCCAAAGCAAGTCCTTACAGCCTGGAGTTCCCAAACAACTCCTGCAGTCTTTGTAAAAAAGACCATCCCACAAATTAATTTGGATAACCATAGTCAGGTCCAGTCAGCTGAGGCACTTAAAAAATAAGGCCAGATAATCCTGCAGCCTCAGGCTGGAGCAAAATATAATATTGTGCTGCTCCAAGTGGCTGTGCAGTGTGATCCGAAAGTCCAACCCTGAATCTTTTGCAGAAACAGTATAAAGCATGCTAGAAGACACTGCTTGTGTCTAAATGCCTTGTGATCTACCAGAATACTGAAATGGGTTCTGGGGTGTATCTTTCAGATTGTGTACATACAATATGGATGCACCACTGGCATCCATACAAACACTGTTGCTCCAGGTGGCCATTTGGGATCCTTGTGCCCCCAACAGTAACTAGACACATAGAACAAAAATGCTATCTCAGCATCTAACAGGCCAAGAAACATGGCGACAATTTTGAAGGTTATAGATTCAAGTGTCATACTGAGAGTGTGCTACACCCCTAAATAAATAAATAAATAAATAAATAAATAAATAAATAAATAGATGGTGATAGGTAGATAGATAGATAGATGCTCCTCCTGTGCAGACTGTTACATGGGTTTGATATATATCAGATGCCCCATATGGATGCACTCTAGAAGAGCATTACAAACAACCTAACAATAACAGATGACCTGCTCCACAGGGCTGAAAGTCAAAGTAATCAAGTTACTTTAGGTCACTTTATTCTATGGCCTTTTAAATGTGTTTGTGGGATGGGGATTATTGGGAAGTTATTGGTTTTAGTATGTGTTTTGTGTTCTCATTTTGTATTTTTATGTTGTGACTCACCCTGTGATCTTCAGATGAAGGGTGGTATACACATTTAGATAATAACAACAGCAGCAGCAATATATTGTGAAGAAACTAGTGTGTCCTAACTGACCTAACAAAGCTCTTGGAAGGACTTGAGAATCTCAGCTAAGTTCAGCACATGGTGGTAAATGCATCCGATACAACCCAACAAGAAGTCCCTAGAAATCCAAATTCACCAGGCTTTCTCTCCTATGGTCACATTGTGATATGGCTATGCGAAACAGCAGTGCAGCTCCACTCAATTTCACAGAGCATAAAACATGTCTCTGCAGTTCCTTATATCTGAATTTTGTGTCTCGCAGCCCCTAACATGGGCACTGACATTCAGACAAACTAGTGAGAGTTGCATGGACATCAAAGTTATATTCCTGCACAATTCCTTTTTGTTTCAATGGGGCTCTTGCAGGAAATTATCTGTCGGTTGTGCCCAGAGTTTATGAAAACCACCTGTTCCATACAGATTGCTTTGAATACAGCAGGATAGTTGCAGTTTGTGCTGGGGGGGGGGGGAGATGAATACAAATTCACCGCTCAACACATTTATTCAGTGCAATAAACCAATTTCTCTGTGCTCACTCAAAGACCTGGCAACTTAAGCTGATTATGGGAGCTCACATTGATTGGCCCTGAGTTTGCAAGAAAGTACAAAATTGGCAATTTTATGAGGTAGTAGTTTCAATCTCCAGAGTACCACCCAGAATGCATTTAAATATCTTGCAAAATAGAATAGCTTTTGAACAAAACAAAGCAAAACAAAAATACCCACCCCTAGATCTGCTTATTATTTAGTTGATACATATATTCAGCAGATTACATTTTGCAGTGCATAATTCAATCAGCAGCTGCAAAATAGCCTCTCGTTCTCCCACCAAATAAGTCGGTGTGACTATCAGTCACCAGCCAACACTAGCATCCCTTATGAAACAATACAAAATCTACTCAATGCACTTTTTGTTCTCTTCCTCTGCTTTTCATTGTGTGTAGCAAATATTTTTTTCAGGGGCAAGAGTCCTTCACTGAGGGTACACCCATGCTTTTCATACAGGATTTTTCATTTCATTGGTTATACTAGGCCCAATGAATGGTCTGGAAACACCTGATCCTGCAGCATTTCTGGAGCTAAATAGTCATGGAACTGGTCAGTCCCTTGGGTGGGTGACTCCTGAGAGTAGAAATACATATCTAGGAAAGCTGTGGGTTCCCATCCTTTGCATTTTCCTTAATCACACCACCCTGGAACAAAATGCACTCTTTCCACAATGCAAGTGACTTTTAGATTGCCAGGATTAACTTAATCACGTCCTTTCCCCCAAGAGCTCAGGGTGAATTCTCCCCCAGCAGTAAGGTAGGCTAGGCATAGTGACTAGTCCAAGGTCACATGGGGTTGAGTGGGAGATTTGAACCATGATCTCCCTCCTCTGAGGTTGACATTCTGGCCACTATACCTCACTGATTCAATGGGTGTGTAGCATGAAGACTGACTGTTCAACAGGGATGGAATACAACTCCCATCATCCATAAACATTGTCCGTGCTGGCTGGGACTGATGGCAGTTGGAGTTCAGCAACATCTGGAGAGCCACAAGCTCCCCACCCCTGCTGTACAACCTGCTTTATCTGCCAGCTACAGGCGCTTCACTGATGCTTTAAGTTGTTTATGGCAAGAATTTCAAGTTATTACATTCCTGATTACTTACCAGTCAGTCTTGAAGAGAATACATGCAGTCTTCATAAACACTTTTATGAGCAATCCAGTATTATGAAACAATAGTTTTACATAGCTTTTGAACAGATTATTATTAAGTGATGTTTCTGTATATATTGTCACAAATCTCATATTAGAAGCAAGCAGCAGGATGCAAAATCCAGCACAAACAATTATACTTTTGGCACCCACACATACATAACTCATTTCCTTCTGATCTTCTTTTGTCAGAGATTATTCATTTTGCTTAACACAGTGTAGCACAACATCATGCCATGTTTTGATTTCATCTGAGATCTTCAAAAGAATATAATATCAGACGGTGTTTAAGCTTTCACATAAAGTTTTGTATTAGTCTTCCCAACTGTTGTCTCCTATCAGCTGCTTAGAACAGAATCTGAAATTTTGACAACTGACAGATGGCATGTTTAGTACAAAGGTTGCTAGAGAGTAGCTGAACAAGAGAACTGCAGATAAAAGATTACAATGGCCACCATCTCCTTCCCTCTCGATGATAAATGATAGTCATGCTCAAAATAGACCAACTGGGTCATATCCAATGCTGCTCTTCCGCTGGTGCAGCAGAATTCCTCTCGTGCAATGGGACTTTGCTCCTCCCTCCCCTGCAACTCCGCACACACTCTCAAAATCCACTCCAGAGGGTTGGTGCAGATTTTGAGAGTGTAGAGGGAGGAGAGGACAGGAAAGCTATATTGTATGAGTGTTGGATACAGCCCATTGAAATCAGTGCACCTAAGTTAGTGAAGTCCACTGATTTCAGTGGGGCTGCTACAGGTAATAATAATAATAATAATAATAATAATAATAATAATAATAATTTATTTATACCCCACCCATCTGGCTGGGTTTCCCTAGCCACTCTGGGTGGCTCCCAACAGAATATTAATAATAATAAAAAAGTAATAAAACATCAAACATTAAAAACTTCCCTAAACAGGGCTGCCTTCAGATGTCGTCTAAAAGTCAGATAGTTGTTTATTTCCTTGACATCTGATGGGAGGGCATTCCACAGGGCGGGCGCCACCACCGAAAAGGCGCTCCGCCTGGTTCCCTGTTTTTGACGTTAGGGAATCAGTTTAATTAATCGGGTACCAATCAGAACAATGTGAATGGTCAGAAATAACGTCCACCCATGAAAATATATCCACAGAGTTTTACACCATTGCCTGCTCTCCTTCCAAAAGTGGCGTCTGCCTGGCAGCTTACCCATAGGTCAGTCTTGAACAACCATGCTTCAGCTCACAAATAGGGCTCATCTTTTGACAGTTCCCATTTCCGTGGTCGAGGTTGAATTCAGTGCAAGCATTCTGGCATCTCCCCTCTCCTTTCCTGACTGGGGGCTGGGCGGGGCACGCATATGGAAGAGAGGAGTGAAAAGCCTAGTTGCACTAATAGGTTTTGCTGCGTTTGCTCCTCCTAGCACAACTGTCTAGCTGAACCCAGCCCAATGCGTATGACTAACATTGGATATCCCTCAATATGACTTGAATGGAAGACCCCTGAAACTTTCCTCTACTGTCAATTGCTGAAAAAGAGAATTTTCAGCATTCAGGTCCTGGGTGTTGAAGACTAGCTGAACAGCAAGCAATTATAAGGCATCATGTATTTGCTTGACATCTATGCATAATGCAGTCTTCTGAACACCCCCTGAAGATCGCTCGGTGAATTGTCTTGCTGCTTTTCAGTCCCAAGTAGCTTACACTGAGCTTTCTCGGCAATATAGTGACTCCAAAGCTGGTAAATCCAAGTTAACATGCTTCTTCTCCGATACTTTTGGTCCTGTCTTTGGAAGTGGAAATTTGCCTTCAGGTGGAGGCATGCCAAATCTTTGCATTAATAATTTTTATTACAGTACTGTGATTGGCTTCTTAGGAAAAACATATTGAAGGATCTATTTTAAGGCTGCCTTTCTGGCGGTGAATATCCTACTTCCAGCTGCTGTTTTATAGTCTTATCTGTCAGGAATTATTAGAAAAAGCACTTTTTATTTAATTTAAAGTTTTATTGACTACCTTTTGGCAGGAATGACTGAGCCTAGTTGGCAGAGCCTGTAGCAGGATCCACAGCAAGTGAATCCCTATCTATTTTCTTAGAAAATAGTACAGTGAAGGGGGCGTGCTCAGGAGAGCCTCTTCTGCCCCTTCCTGGCCCTACAGGTGCACAACAGTCCTGTGGTGCTTTCCTTTCTAATAGTTTCTCCCCTCCCACCTGCCCTGCTTTGGGTCACTGAGAGCCCCAGAAAAAAATGACATAAACTTGGGGTGTCCAATTAACAGTTAAATCCTGGGATCATGGACCAGCACACCTTGCAATCTCTTGTAATTTACCCAGAGTGTGAAGCCACATCTCAAGCTCTCTGCTTCTCCCTGAGAGTAGAGCAAATTCATGACTTTACCGCCTCTGGTCGTAGACCTCCAATAGCATGAAACCCAAAGTGATCTAGGTGTGTGGGGATTCCCAGATCCTGAGACTGGCAAATGGACACAGACTTCACTAGTTCAATTGTGAAACTTGTCCAGCCAAGAGACATATATATGTGATGTTGTGCCCAATACGGTCACAGACTGCCCTGGTGTCAGGAGTGTGTGCAGGAGCCAGGCCCTGTGACCAGCAGGCCTTTGCAGGACTGGGGCCTTCCTATGTTTGTTCTGAAGAGGCAAGACACAGGTGAGGCAGATTGGTAACTCACTGCACCTGGTGGCAAGAGCTGGGAAGGGATATAAGGTCAGCATTTCCCTTTGGCTCTTTGCCACAGCAACACGTTTTCTGCCTTGCTGCGTTTGGGTTCTTGCTTCCTGATCCTCAGACCTCGGCTTCTTGACTCCTTGGACCCCTGGCTTCTGGACTCTCATTCCTGCTCCCACCCTGCCATCTTGCCCCCTGTCCCAACGTCCTCAGCTGGGACTTCAATCGCCCATAGACTGGACCGTGACACCTGGCATCCTTGCCCTGCTGCCAAATTTGCACACCTATCTAACTCACTTGCTACCTTGATGCTTTGTCATCGGGCCAGTGCATCTTGTATGTTGGGTCTCTTGCTCGTCAGACCTCTCCCCTCTTGCTCATGGATTGCACATGTTCTCCTTTGATGTAAGATGCAAGGAGACCGAACTCAATTCAGGAAGCACTGATTCTCAGTTTGAAGGGTTTAAATGTTGCTCCAGCAGCGGTTCATCTATTAGAGGGATGGATGACATACATCCTGGCAGTAGAGCTGATGAAAAGAACTGAAGAGCAATCAGAGACATGGCCCTTCTGTAGCTGCTGGTGCAGCTTTGAAATGTCTGATCCTATATCTGTATATCTATATCTATATAGTGAAAGTCTTTCCTCATGAAACCATTGCAGATGTTAACCAGTCCTGGCAGACATTCATTCAGTCTTCTCAATTTTCAGATTTTGAGAAAAAAGATTGTTCATGTGATATGACAAATAACAATGGAAAATACACAGGTGGTGACTGATTTACCCTACTGTAATTCTAGGGTGGTGGGGTTTTTATTTAGTCTAGAGCTCCCTCTCTCCCCTCCCTCTGTGTGTCTTTGCCCTCTAATCAGAGAGACTCAAAACCCCACCCTCCACATCATTCTGTCCTAGGGGTCAAACTGTGCTGAGAGTGACTTCAAATTACAGAGTCTTGTGGCAACTTATAAAAACCGGCAAATTCGTTATGGCATAAACTTTCACAAATTGGAGTCCACTTTAGATGCACGTTATCTGTATTTAAATAAAGCACCTGCAATGGTCACAGTATCAGGACTTTGGACTAGCAAAAACTCGAGCCCAAACACAACTTTCAGCCATTCAGAACTGCTTATTTTCCTACCTGTTTGTCACAGCTCATCTTGTCAATCACAGCAATTTGTTTTTAACAAGATTTCTTCCCCCTGACTCAATCCATCTTCTCCTCCTTATTACCACATACCCTGCAGCACCGCTGATACAGTGACAGACTTTTTATATTTTTGGTATTATTATTGCAAAAGTCATTAAGGGGTGTAGCTGACAATTTGAAATGGGTAAATATTCTGACAAGTCAATTGCCCCCTGCTCATCTGAGACTCCTAATCTGCCAGAGGAAGATCTGCCTCTGCAGACAACATTATTGCTGGCACTGAGTGCAACCAGAGAGCATCATCTGCAGTAGTACGCTACTGAAATGTTACCGAAAACTCCATGAAGGGCAAGAGAAGGGAGAGAGAAAGGAAAGACTCTCTGAAGGTAGTAAACTATCCTACAGACAGATTCAGCAAAAAACCTGTTGCTCTGAAGACAATTATGAAGCCCTCATCAGCTTGGGTCCAGTTTACTTAAAGGATTGCCTTACTCCATGTGTGTCCAGTTAACCATTTTGTTCCCAAGTCAGAAACGGTCTTGCATTTGCAGTGAATCAATGCTTCAATGTGGCAGCACACATTGGAACTCACTGCACACTGATATTAGGCAGGTATTGTTTTCATCACTAAGAACTTTTTGCTGTTGTTTAGGCAAACCTACCCTGGCATATACTCTTCTTTTGATTTTAATAGTATTTTCAAGCACTGGTCACTCACTGGAATTTGTGGACTGCTTGCTGGGAGGCATCATGTTGTTCTAAAAGGAATGTTTTCCCCCCAATGGAAATTCTTTCATCGCAGTGTGAAAATGAATTATCCCAAGTAAACTCTGGATAAGGGGAAGGCAACATTTTAAATGTATCCTTAGCTTTTTCAGCTCTGTCACTCTGTTAATGAGAGAAAAACAAAGGCTGGCCACCTCTACTGAACTATACAAAAGCAATATTTCATTATTATGCATAAGCATGGTGCTTTTGAATACAGACAAAACTAAGCAGATGTTATTTGATGTAATCAAAACAAATTTGCCGTCTTAAAAGATCATAAACATACACTCCATTTTTGTATTATTTGATGATGTGATTGTTGGGAAAGCCTGCTTTTCAGATAAAATTACCATAAGTAATTCACCTTAAAGGGTATCTTAATTAACACTCTGCATTGCTTTGGGCACTAGTTCGTATTCACCAGACTATGTTACACTTCCATCGAAGAATCTGAAAGTGTTTCACAAATGCTAATTACACTTCACAAACACCCCTAGCAGACTGTAGCAACAACCCATGTTTTCTTGCTTTCCCAGTGAGTACTTAGAACTCTGAATTTTCTAATGAGTAGAAACTGGAATGAAATGATATCTTCAATAAATATTTCAAGTTCCACCCTCCTGCCAATTTTTTTACTTTACAGTGGTACCTCAGGTTAAGAACTTAATTTGTTCCTGAGGTCTATTCTTAACCTGAAACTGTTCTTAACCTGAGGTACCACTTTAGCTAATGGGGCCTCCTGCAGCTGCCACGCCGCCACCGCACGATTTCTGTTCTCATCCTGAAGCAAAGTTCTTAACCTGAGGTACTATTTCTGAGTTAGCGGAGTCTGTAACCTAAAGCATATGTAACCTGAAGCGTATGTAACACGAGGTACCACTGTGCATCTTTTCTTTCCATGTATTTTTCAGAAGGTCTAATTTTAATGTCAAATCATGTTAATTTTGGAGTAAAAAAAATAAAACAAGGAGGGGTGTTTGTGTTAGGATATTTCCGTTCCACCTTAAAAGGGAGCAGGCTGTGAGTCACAGAGTCTGCGTATTTCCTGTTCACAGGATGTTTATGTTTTCTGTTGCTTTTGTTTCTCTCTCTGTGTCGTAGACACTAAAGCAGGCAGTCATGTTTTTCTGTGTTCTGATCAACGCTGAGTAAACTTGTAAATAATGCTCTCCTGAGTGCAACTTTTGGCTGTGCATTATCTGCTGATAGAGTGTGCATGAGCTCTGGAATGTGGCAAGATATTTTCTAGAAACTCATGTCGCTGCGTGCCTACGGGAGGTCGATGGATCGTCTGGCAGACGGCTTGGGGGCCTTGATGGACTTTATCTCCCTGGCAGTATCCCAACAACAGGTTTCGGGCCCAGATTCACAGCACTTACAGGAGAGTAAGACTGCGACAGACTGCGTTGAGGTATGTGGGAAAAGCGAAAGTGAGGCTTTTCTGTTTGCCGCGGCAAGAGCTTTTGATGTCCGGCAGGCCTAATTGGTCTGGGCGTTGAGCCCAGCAGGCCTCAAGATTTATGGCTGCCGAGATAAGATGTCTCTGAAGTGAATAAGACTCACGGCTCAAATAAAAAGCTGGAATGGAGTTTTTCCAAGCTTCTGAGGCTGCTGAGTGCCCAAAGCTAAATCGGCACAATTATGGGACCTGGGCTGTGTGGTGTGAGAGCTTGCTGTGTCAGTTTGGAGTGTGGCATACTGTGTGTGAGGCCCCTCCAGTTCCTCTGACAGATAGATGGAAGGCCGAAAATTCGAAGGCGATAGACGTAATAGTCTTGTCCGTCTCTCTGGAGGAAATAAAAACGCTTGCTGGCAACACCACTGCACGTAAGATGTGGAATGCTTTGAAAGTAGCCCATCTGCCAGTCATCCCAGCCCAGAGTTTGACTGCATCGGAGGTCCTGGCTGTTTCCCAGAATGAGAGTGAATGCAGGGATGCCGAGGGCACCGGTTGCAAGCTGCAGGGGGAGCTGACTGCCACGGCATCCCAGGCAGCATTCCAGCCTCCAGGGGGAGCCAAGGAGTCGGCAGCTGAGAGCTCTGTTTCTCATGGGAGCCAAGGTCATCGCCTTTGCAGAGGCCGGAAGGGCAAAGGTAAACAGAGGCAGACGCCTGCAGATGGCCAGAAGCAGAGGGAGGGTGAAGAGCCCACGCCAGAGGAAAACAAGGCTTTGTTTGCTGGCACAGCTTCACCAAAGGCTAAAGGCAAGTCTGATGGCCAGGAGCAGGGGGGGCAAGCTCCAAACGCCCACGCCAGTGGAAAACAAGGCTTTGTTTGCTGGCACAGCTTCACCAAAGGCTAAAGGCAAGTCTGATGCCCAGGAGCAGGGGGGCAAGCTGCAAAAGCCCACGCCAGTGGAAAACAAGGTTTTGTTTGCTGGCACAGCTTCACCAAAGGCCAAAGCCAGGTTTGTTGTTGATTCAGGCTGTACCCGCCATGTCTCAAAGGACCGCCACCTATTTATCTCCTTCACGCCTCAAGAAGGTGAGATCCACCTGGCTGACGGAAAGACGTTACGAATTGCAGGAGAAGGGACTGTGAAACTGGCAAGTCTGCACACTACCATCAAAGATGTACTATATGTTCCAGGTGCTGCAGACAACTTGCTCAGTGTCCCACAGCTTACTGGGCGTGGTTTTGAGATTTCCTTCAAGAGGAGCGTCTGTGTCATCAGAAAAGGCAAAGAGGACATTTTGCATGCAAAGTTTATGGATGGCTTGTTCTGTATAACCTATGACGACAATGGTGCTGTTGTGTCTAATGTTGATTCTTGTTGTGTTGCACAAACTAACAAAGTTCTTCATGCAGGATGCATTCACGATGCACACAGAAGGTTTTGTCACCTCTCTTGGAAGGCACTGGCCAAGATGCCAGAGATGGTTGAGGGTTTGAACATCAAACCCTGTAAGTTTCACATGAAATGTGTATCTTGTGCAGAGAACAAGGTGAAGGTTGCTCCAAAAGGCAAGGAGTCTAGCAGGCAGGCTTCCAAACCCTACCAGCTAGTGCACGCAGACCTGGTTGGTCCACTTGCGCCCTCTTTGGGTGGAGCAAGGTACTTCATGGTTCTAATTGACTCTTTTTCCAGGTACATTCATGTGTTTATGCTCGAGCAGAAATCGCAAGCGTTTCCTAGGTTCAAGGCATTCTGTGCTTGGTTGGAGAATGTTCACGGTAAATGTATTGGCTGTCTGTTTACTGATCGAGGCGGGGAGTTCACTTCTCAGCAGTTTGAAGCTTTCCTGACTGAGAAGGGAATCCAGCATGACTTGTCAACGCCTAGATCGCCATGGATGAATGGGCTTGCGGAGCGAGCAAATCAAACGTTGCTGCAAGGAATGAAAACATTGTTGCATGATGCCAATCTCCTGATAACTTTTGGGGGGAGGCTCTGTCGAATTTTGTTTACACTTTTAATCGCAGATTGTCATCACCTATTGGTTGTACTCCCTATGAGAAGATGTTTGGTAAGAAACCCAACATCAAACACATGAGAATCTTTGGTTCTGACATGTGGGTACACACCCCACAAAGCAACAAGCTTGGGAAGCGTGGGGCACATGGTTTGTTCATGGGGTACGAAAAGGTGCATACAGGGTATGGATGACTGACTCTAAGTCCATTAAGTTCACAAAGAGTGTTGAGTACAATCCTAAGTGGGGGGAAAATGTGGGAATTTTCCAGAGTTACCCAGAGGAGGATGAAGGTGATGTGAAGAAAGCAGATAATGTTGAGGAAGCTGAGGAAGCTAAGGATGATGATGACGATGATGATCAGAGTTCGGATTCCAGTTCAGTGGGTGGCGCTGCTGCTGGTGTCAGTGACAGTGATGACACAGCAGACTACAAGAGCGCAAAGGCCTCAGTCAGACCATCTGATGCGTCTGACAATGAACTGGAAGAACCACTGTTCACCATTGGTCACTTTTCTCCTAAAAAGGAGATGAGTCCAGAAGACTTGCGTCTAGTACGCAGATCTGAGAGGGCCACAAAGGGCAGACCTCCAAAGAGATTTGCTGATGAGTTTGCTAAGACAGCAACTGCTGTTCTTAGTAGCTCGGAGAAGGTGTGGGAACCTTCAAGCTTCAAAGAGGTTCAGGTGTTAACCTCTAAAGATGCTGAGCCTTGGCTTAATGCCATGAAGGCTGAAGTTGATTCCTTGAATAGGAACCAAACTTGGGAACTGGTACCGGTAGTCCCAGGGATAAGACTGGTTGGCAGCAAATGGGTCTTCAAGGCCAAGACAGACCAGAATGGCAAGGTAGTTAGACACAAAGCCAGATTGGTTGCCAGAGGTTTTTCACAGGTACCAGGACAGGATTACCATGAGACCTACTCACCCACCGTCAAATATGAGAGCATTCGGCTGATGCTCAAGATAGCTGCAGAGGAGAAACTGCATGTTTCCCATCATGACATTAATACAGTTTTTTTTGTACGGGATTTTGGAGGAGGAGCTGTTTATGCTTCCACCTGACGGGATGCAGATACAGAAGGGAATGGTCTGTAAACTGCGGAAATCCTTATATGGTCTCAAGCAGAGTGCCAGGTGTTGGAACACAAAGCTCACTGAGACATTGCTTTCTCTAGGTTTTCACCAGGGCAAAGCTGATCCATGTGTGTTTGTCAAGGAGGAGGGGCAAAACAAACTGTATTGTTTATGTTTTGTTGATGATCTTCTGATGTTTTGGAAGAATCAGGCTTTGTACCAAAGCACCCTAGCTCAGCTGAAGGAGCACTTTGACATGAAGGATCTTGGTGAGGTATCCAACTATCTTTCTCTGCAGGTGGAGAGGGACCAAGCAGGTAATTTTCTGGTACACCAAACACAGAAAATTGGTGATGTATTAACCAGGTTGAATTTGGTTGATACAAACCCAGCAGACACACCGATGGTGACAGGTTACCAGGTAGATAGTACTGCTGAAGCGTTTTCTGACACAACGCTGTACAGATGCATTCTAGGCAAGTTGAATTTCATTGCTAGATGCTCAAGACCTGACATAGCTGTAAGCACTAACCTGCTTAGCAGACATGCTAACAATCCTAATGTTCAGGATTGGAAAGCTCTGAAGCGCATAGCCCGCTATTTGAAAGGGACATTGCACTACAGGCTGAGGTTCACCAGTCAGAAGACTGGAGGTCTTGAAATCTTTGCAGATGCAAGTTTTGGAAGTGATACCACGGATGGTACAAGCACTTCTGGAGTATGCTACATGTACAACCGCTGTCTGTTTGACTGGCTGTGCAAGAAGCAGACGACAGTGAGCCTAAGTTCCTGTGAAGCAGAACTCAATGCTCTGTCATTTTCACTCATGGATTGTGAATGGTTGATGCAACTGTTTAAGGACACCAGAGTTTCTGTGAAATGTCCTGTACAAGTTTATCAAGACAATATATCGTGTTTGGCTTTGCTGAACTCGGAGAGTTGCAAGCAAAGGACCAAGTACTTGCAGATTAAGCTACATCGTGCAAGAGAGTGTATTCAGAAAGGACTCATTCAGGTGTCCTACATGCCAGGAAATGAAATTCCTGCTGATCTGTTGTCTAAGGTTGTTAACAGAGAACAACTTAAGGTTTGCGTACAAAGGTTGCAATTGGGTTGAACCACAGGTACTACAGGTTACACGGAAAGGGGGAGGATGTTAGGATATTTCCGTTCCACCTTAAAAGGGAGCAGGCTGTGAGTCATAGAGTCTGCGTATTTCCTGTTCACAAGATGTTTATGTTTTCTGTTGCTTTCGTTTCTCTCTCTGTGTCGTAGACACTAAAGCAGGCAGTCATGTTTTTCTGTGTTCTGATCAACGCTGAGTAAACTTGTAAATAATGCTCTCCTGAGTGCAACTTTTGGCTGTGCATTATCTGCTGATAGAGTGTGCATGAGCTCTGGAATGTGGCAAGATATTTTCTAGAAACTCATGTAGCTGCGTGCCTACGGGAGGTCGATGGATCGTCCGGCAGACGGCTTGGGGGCCTTGATGGACTTTATCTCCCTGGCAGTATCCCAACAGTTTGCCCCCCCCCAACCCTTATAGCCAGTTTCCCCCTATCTGTTAATGCATCAAGATGATTTCATTCTTCTAATTGCAGAACATTTTTCCTCCTGAAAAGTCACATAGACGATCCAAGGCTCTTGGGGATCGTGTAATGATCCTTCATGGCCAATCAGATTTTCCTGTGTAACTATGCCACTGAGGACAAAGTCTAATCAGAATGAAGGCAAAGCTTCCCAAGTAGGTGAACAGTCCGCATTCGGAATATGTATGTATGGATATTGTGCATTTTGATGCTGCCAAAAATGTTCATGGAAAAACAGTGAAAACATTTGGCTTGGTTGGGCTGGAGCTAGTGGGTGGCCAGGTCAGGCCCTGGCAGAGGGCCTGGAAGCCTCCACAGACCCACTATTTCAGACCCAGCCCTACCCCACCACTAGCTACCAGCTTCCCTCTTCCTGGACTGCATGGTTTGGCTTGCACTTGAAGGCATGTGCTGTAGGTGCTCTTGAAAGGGAGTGAATCAGCTTGCAGGCACAGTGGCTGCCTTGCATAAAATTACTCAACATGCATTCTAGGGCCACGTTGACACCATGCATTTAAAACAATATCAAGCCACTTTAAACAGCTTATTTTACTCAGGCCCTTTCCCCCTTCCTCTCCACTGTTACGAAGGATCAAGCATTTTAAGCATTTTGAAGACTGAAGGGATATTTCCTCCTCCCCCACCCTATGGCAGCCTCTTGAAAAGTAAGAGGAATTAATTTTATTCAGGGAGGAGAAGCCAAAACGAATCAGGGTAAGACAGGTCCACCTGACTATCCTGACTGCTATTGGGTGGGTGAGTGAGCAGGAAGAGATTCTAGAGCAGGCATCCCCAACCTTCAGCCCTTCAGATGTTTTGTACTACAATTCCTATCATCCCTGACCACTGGTCCTGTTAGCTAGAAATCATGGGAGGTGTAGGACTTCCGGGGAGGCGCCTCCGGTAATGGTGGAATTCCTCTGACCGGGAGGAATCCACTCCGTGAGAATCTGGGTCTGGCCGCCACGGCGAAGGCGGAGACCCGTTAAAATCACAGGCGGGAGATGCCTGTGAGCGTGGGATTAGGCGGGCACCTTTTGCGCCTCCCCCACTTGCGGGGAACCCCGGTTTTTGGGGCTCCGGAGCGACGTGGGGTGAGCGGCGCAGTGCATCGAATCATCTGCTTCTTCCACGGAGCGAAGCCGCATAGTTGTTGCCAGAGAGTGCTGACCTTTTCCTGTGGACAATTTGACTTTAAAGTATTTACCTGTGAGTAGAGCTGAAGCGGAATAATTGGATTTCTAAAAGTTTAATTTGGTATCGTAACGGGGAGGTTCAAAACAGGAAGTCTGCCTTCCCCTTTTGTAAATAGACTGAGGCAATGAAGTTGCAAGCTGGAGTCCTGGAAGGTCTTTTGTAAAAGATCAAATTTCCAACGGTAAAGAACATTAAACCCCCTCTTGGAGGCAGGAGAAGAGAGGGGGAAGTTGCGGATTGAGTATGCCTGAAGGAAAGAGCGAAGAGACTTAAAACACCGCCGCTCTGACCCTGGAAACGGGCTGCTAGTAGGACTGACGTCTTTTGGAATGTTCATTGACAGCACTTAGAACGTTCATTGACAGCTAGTTAAATAAGAGAAATACATTGTTTCTACTGTCTCCGGCTGCTTTAAAAAGGAGTAAAAGTAACTGAAAATTGAAACTAATTTGAAACTAACTTTGGATTGTTTAAAAGAGGATACTATTGACTATTACAAATAGAAACTGTTTCCCCCTAGTGGAAGCCTTTGAGACTGGTTGGACTAGGGGAATTTCCAGCTGCAAGTTAAAAACTGTGAGACTCTGGGACTGACCTTGAATCTTTCAAATGTTATGGTAAATGGAAGAGGAAAAACAGACCAGTCAACTGCTGACAAAACATTAAGGTCTGGGAGGACTTGGTAACAATCCAGGAGAGGTCTATCATTAGGCCCTCCTGTTCTTTTTGTTGCTGTCTTTGTAATAGTATATTTGAAACCAAGAGGAATGTCGTCAGAAGAGGCTTTGGTGGCTGCATTATATAAGATAAATGACTCATTGGATCAGCTTCACAGGAAAATGGACATGATAAATGCGAAAATGGATGTTTCAACTGCTGAGGTTGACTTGAATGCAGGGAGTATGGATAATACCAATACAGAAACCACCCAGAAATTGATACAAGAACCTATTTTGATATGGCAAGCTGTAGAGGAAGTCAGGAAAAAAGCTGTTGCTGCTGAAGGTAAAGTAACACAACTGGAGAGAAAGAGAACCCCAGCCCTACAGAGGCAATTTGATGAACATAAGTTGACGCTCGCTATGACTGAACTTAAGGAAAAACAGACGAATTTGAGGATTAGAGTTCACCTTTGGTGGACATGCCCAAGGATTAAGACACTCTGGGAGATGATTCATAACGAAATGAAAAAGGTATTTAAATATACCCTTTTGAAGAAACCAGAGGCCTTTCTCCTGGGCATGGTCGGCCAATTGGTGTTAAAGAAGGATAGAATTTGTTTCATGTATGCAACAATAGCAGCAAGAATACTCATTGTGAAGTACTGGAAGACACAAGATTTATCCATTCGGGAAGAATGGCAGATGAAGTTGATGGACTATATGGAATTGGCGGAAACGACTGGCAGAAATCCGAGACCAGGGAGAAGAGCTGGTGGAAGAAGACTGGGAAAAGTTTAAGACTATTTATAGAAATACTGTAAAAATAATGAATGTTAGAAAAATGTTGGAATGAAGTTATATGGCTTTAGTAGAAATGCTATAAGGAATCAAGTATAAATAGATTAATAGTGTATTAAAGGGAAAATAAGGCTAGAATATGTTAAGATAATTATAGGATAGAAAACAGAGGAAGATGGAA